GATCAGTTGTATATCAGTAAAATTTCAGCTCAATACATTGGATAATTAATGAGATAATACTATTAAAGTCATTAGGAATTGAATGACCGTGTTAAGCCGACCAAGTTTAGGTGGTAACGAAAAAGCGAAAACGCAGAACATTATGGTACCTTCTAAAATATGTAGGATAGTGTTAAAAATTTAGTACAGACATGTACAAAAGTTTAAAAAAAAACTACATGATTATTCAAGATTTTTTATTGAAAGGTAAAATCATTTCAATTGAACTTTTACTCCCTTACTTATAAAAACTTGTGTTGCTTGACGACGACCCACTGTACCTAGTGGGTCGTCGTACTTTAGACTACCGTAAAAACAGACACAATTAAGTCAATACATGTTTGAACGCCGGTGTTCGCTGGGGGGGGGGGGGCATAGAATAAAATATTAGTTGTATTGACCTAAACGATTGTTCCATTATAATATAATAATATAAAAGTAAATTCTCTATATTCCGAAAAAACAACTAAAAGTAACCTTTTTATTCGAGTTACCTAAAAGTAACCGATGCAGTTCAAAAATCATCTAAAATGTTACAAAAGTAACCTTCTGGCAAGACTGAGTGCGTTATGCAAACAATGTAGGTATTACCCCTTCACCCCACTCCTCCTGCGTCCTACCGAACGGCATAGGTACTCTAGCGGTGATTTTTGATAATTTTGTGGAACTGGAAGATAATGTTTTCTTTTATAGTATTATTATAGGTATTTAACAGTGTACGCGTCTGTACCAAAATTGTAAGGTGTATTATACTAAACATTTCAAAAGATAGTACAATGTTCTACGTTTTCGCTTTTTCGTATCCACCTAAACTTAGTCGGCTTACCACGGTCATTCACTTCCTAATGACTTTAATAGTATTATCTCATTAATTATCCAATGTATTGAGCTGAAATTATACTGATATACAACTGATCTAAACATCTAATCATTGACATAACATTCAGTTCATATATCCAATCCAGTGGCCAAATAACACCGCGTGCATTAAGACCGTGCTCGTGAAGAACTGAATATCATCATAACTTGTTAAATACTTACGGGATACTAATGACACTTCACATACATTTGAAGGCAGTTACAATCTTTAAAATTACGTTTAAAGTAAGTCTTTAGACTTCATATTGAGAGTGCTGGGGCCAATTGAAGTGTTTTTCTATTTAATGAAATAACCATTAAAATATGCATTATTTTGGTTCTATTATTGCACAACAAATTTAAACTAAGTCCTCGGAAGTCGTGTACAAAATATGATAAGAATCCGCTTAACCATTTCAAAGATATAGCAAAACCAAAAACGTTACCGCAGCAAAATCTCGAATAACTTCGCAACCGAAGAAAGAACAAATATAAAATAAGGCACAACATTTACTTTATCTAGACAACTAATTTTATAGCTAATATTTATTTAAATATTCCCATTAGAAAGAAAAAGGTCTGGCTGTGGTAACGTTACGCCAGCAGGAAATGTTTTTGTGAAATAATTAAAAAACTATAAGCGCAACAAATTTAAAAATGTGCGCAACAATTACAGAAGCCGCACAACTAATTATCTATAAGATTCAAATGACCATTGTCGACAACATCTGGCCTGGGTAACAGACACGTTTTTATCTCAAACATTAATATTTAGTACTAGGAATATTATTTATTTTATCAGTTTAAAAAATTAAGAATGATTAACCCGTGATAAGCGCAGATCCACGCAAGACACAATCTGCATTCTATAGCTTATCGAATATATCTACCGAAAGACAAGACGTTAATTAAAATGAATCCCGAATATCCTAACTTCGATTTGTCACTATTACCAAAAGTGTTTTAATTAAATTGCATAGTCTATCTTTGTCTTCTATGCTGTGAAGTATTCTACAATGATAATGATTATCCTTCACTTCTCAACAAAAAAACATTAGGATCAATATGCTTCGGAACAAATCTGGTGTTACTCGAAGCGCGATAATGTAATGCGGACCCAGGATGAAGCAGGAGGAATGGGGTGGTTTTGAGGCAGTAAGACTGACATCATTATGTGGTCGTAATGGAAGACGCCTACTTTTCATTCATGGGGTTCGTAACCTGGCAAGTACCTACCAATGTGATTCTTCCTAAGATAGTTTAGACACCACTGACATATAATGAAGGAAACATGAACCTCCTTAAGTACGAAGTATAGGTTTACCATTTTGGTTTTGAATTTTGAATCTTATTCTCAACTACCTTCAATTCGGAAACTGGCAATGGAATAGATAGATCTAAAGAAAAACTTGCTCTGCGTTCCTTCAGTGTTGGCCCTGGAGCCAAGAGCATCAGTATATTATGTTGTAGTCTCTATCATTAGACATTACATGACATGACATTAAACTTCTATACGATCTTATTTTAATAGCAGACTAGCTGCAGAGTAGATATACAAAAAAGAATGCGATTTTGAGGTTATCTAATCATATTTACGAATTTAAAGCGTGCGTTCGTGCAGCGGAATGTTGTTGAATTTAAAGATTTTAATTATGCAGATATTTAGTGTATGACGTCGTATAATTGTGTATGGTAAAAAAAAATTTGTGCACGCAACCATTGTGGAGAAATTCACCAAAAACTGATTCCGCTGGGCGAACGTTGTCCTGGCGGAACTTTTTTTAATCCATAGACTTTAGAAGAAAAGAGATGTATCCAAAAATTAGTGTGTATTTGTGTGTAATTGTGTATGTATGAATAAAACTAGTGCATGCATAAACTTCGGAGATATTCAAGTTTCCGCTACGCGAACGTTTGGCCATTAGCTAGTTTTCATATAAAGCGCTTACATAGAGAGCTGTAGATTTTTACATACGTTGTTTTGAATTTGTGTATATTTGTTTAAAAAACAGATTTAGAAAAAATCGTAGGGTTTAAAAGATAAAAATATAAACGTAAAATACGCTTATTAGGTCTTAGTTCTTAAAGTATGCACTTTAGGGTCTAGATTTTCACGTTTATACAAACCTTGTAAGTGTCTGCAACATGTTGCAAAGTATCAATGATGTTCCGTTAGTAATTAAATAGTTATAGGACAAATTTACCATGAATAGATCACTGTTTACAAAGCAGTCAAATATCACGACGTTCTAAATAAATTGCATGGTAAAATGTATTCCAGTAATTAGTGTATTCATTCAACTATTCACATGCAAAATTTCATGTCATTAAATTCAGTAATTAAAGAATAACAATTATAATACTGACGAAGTATCGAAAACCTACATAACCCGACCAAGTTCGGATGGCTACAAAAAAGCGGCCGTGCCATATATCTAAGAAACGTTCTTAACTTTCCAATATAGCATTTATTAATATGGTACAGTATCGTACACAAGCGTTAGGAAAAAATAAAACACAGTATCGTACACACGCTCGTGAATGCCTAGTCTATTGGTTAAATAGTGTAATAAAAAAAATTGGTTAAATAGTGTAATAAGCTACAATATGATAAATATTTACCTAAACAGTAGTACATACTTACATGTGGTAAATATTTAATTTCCCTAAGGGGTCTATAGTTAGAATCCTGATCCGTGAAATCTTCAATAGAAATTAGCTGTATGAATTTTATTTGTCTTAAATAGGTATAATTAGATTATATCTCAAGTCTCAAGCGCATACTTAAATATAGTACCTACTTTCTGTCATAGTCAAATACATTTAAAAAAGTAGGTGTCCAAAAATAAATGACCTATAAATTATTTCGAAACAACAAGTCTGTTATCACCTGTACCAATTCAATACCGGTATTATACTGTAAATTTTGGGATGTTACCTAAATATATTGCACAGCCGCTTTTTTGTAGCCATCCGAACTTGGTCGGGTTATGTAGGTTTTCGATACTTCGTCAGTATTATAATTGTTATTCTTTAATTACTGAATTTAATGACATGAAATTTTGCATGTGAATAGTTGAATGAATACACTAATTATTGGCATACATTTTACCATGCAATTTATTTAGAACGTCGTGATATTTGACTGCTTTGTAAACAGTGATCTATTCATGGTAAATTTGTCCTATAACTATTTAATTACTAACGGAACATCATTGATACTTTGCAACATGTTGCAGACACTTACAAGGTTTGTATAAACGTGAAAATCTAGACCCTAAAGTGCATACTTTAAGAACTAAGACCTAATAAGCGTATTTTACGTTTATATTTTTATCTTTTAAACCCTACGATTTTTTCTAAATCTGTTTTTTAAACAAATATACACAAATTCAAAACAACGTATGTAAAAATCTACAGCTCTCTATGTAAGCGCTTTATATGAAAACTAGCTAATGGCCAAACGTTCGCGTAGCGGAAACTTGAATATCTCCGAAGTTTATGCATGCACTAGTTTTATTCATACATACACAATTACACACAAATACACACTAATTTTTGGATACATCTCTTTTCTTCTAAAGTCTATGGATTAAAAAAAGTTCCGCCAGGACAACGTTCGCCCAGCGGAATCAGTTTTTGGTGAATTTCTCCACAATGGTTGCGTGCACAAATTTTTTTTTACCATACACAATTATACGACGTCATACACTAAATATCTGCATAATTAAAATCTTTAAATTCAACAACATTCCGCTGCACGAACGCACGCAATTTAAAGTGTAATTTTTCAAAGCTCTGTAAATTTTAAGAAATGCTAAGTGCTTACTAATGTTATTAGTCACGTAAAATACCATTAAATGCACATTTTTGAATACTGCTTGTCCGTGTTTAAAAATGTTGGCAGATTCAATAATAAAATACATATATATATATCATAGGTATATCATTAACTATCGTGTATTCAGATAATCTTTATTGCACAGGGCCAATTTGGACATTATCTTTTAGTAAATTGAAATATTGCTATTCAAAAAGGCGAAAAGCGATTGATGATTTCCACCACTAAAAAAAATAGGCTTACAGATAAAGAAAAACTACAGTTTAAATGCTTGTTTTTATTATGACAACTAAAATATAGAACTAAGAAGTTCATTGCAGTTCTTATTTCATAAAATTATTATTATTAATCACAAATACTTAGCGCTCACCTATCCAGGCAATTGCAATGGTAATCGTAGTAAAATATTCTTCCAAGAATATAAATAGTTTTAATAGTATCCTCTTCCACGACCTCTAGGTGCAGAGAAACCGCGGCCTCGACCTCTGAAACCATGTTGATTATTATCGTACATTCCAAACTGTTGGTTCATTGTCGAAGGATTTTGCTGTCGCGTATTATAACTATCTTGGCCCCTGCCATTCATAAAATTATTTCTAGGTCCCTGGTTGTAAGGAGCGTTAGATCCCACGTTGTCAGGAGCAGGGCCCCTGGTAGCTGGAATTCTGTTATCCATCGCGTTATTAGGGCGTGAATTCCATTGACGTGGATTGTAATGTTCAGTCGACTTATTCCTGTTGTCATTAAAATGGTGTTGTTGATACTGTTGTTGTGGCGGTCTATATTGCTGCTGATGCTGCGGTTGACTATGTTGTTGTAATTGTTGATTGTGTTGGAGATTAGGGGCTGATTGATTATGTTGCTGGTTGGGGGGTAGATCATTAAGTTGCTGATTAGGTAGCGGTTGATTATGTTGCTGATGAACAGGTGGCAGATTGTGTTGTTGATTAAGAGGTCCCTGATTGTGTTGGGGACCTTGATATTTCTGTTGATTGTAATGTGGTTGGTGTTGCGGAGGTGATGGGTAGTTTTGCCGTGGAGGTGATTGATAGTTTTGCTGCGCAGGTTGGTGAAACTGCTGTTGCGGGCGCTGTTGCAGAAGTGGTGGTGGTCCCTGTTGATGTAAGGGAGGGCGGGATAAATTCCCTTGGTGTTGGCTCGGTAACGGAGGTCCCACTGGCGGTCTTTGAGCGTCTTGCGAAGAATTAAATGAAGAAGAAATTGATGTAGTAGCTGGCGCATTTTGCATTAGTGACTTTGGCGGTTCTTGGTTAGCTGGCGTGGGCTCCGGCAGGTCGCCAAAAGATCTCGGTTGCGTGTTACTGACTACTACGTTCGGAGACCGCGCCAGAGGCGCTGGTGTGGCGGCCGGGGTTGATTTCAAGCTTGCTTGTACCAACGCGAATAGGTCAGACGCCGAGGACAAGCTCTTGGTCAGATCCGCGAGAGTAGTCTCTAGTTTCACTGGCTCCTCTGCAGCAGGAGACTCCGGTTTTGTTTCTTCTAATGATTTCTTTACAATCTCCATTTCCTGTCGTATTTGATCTTCCTTTACTTTCTGGGTAGCCGATTGGAAAACCTGAAGATAAAGCATATTTCATAAATAATTTTATACTAAACTTATATTATTCGTTAATGCATGGAGCTGTAATCATTTATCCATCTACGTGTGATAATCCTCAATCTTATAAATGTAGTTGTACTCATACCTCCTCGACAGTATAGTCATCGTCGTCGTCACTCTCGACTAACACAGCAGGAGGCTCGGGTTGTGCAGGTTGTTCTGTTCCAGCGTTCTTGGGTTCAGCGGCGGCGGCATCGCTCACGTACTGGCGCAAGCGCTCCACGCGTTGAGGTTCCTTGGTCTCCATCTTCTTGAGATACGCTATCAGGCTGTGTTGCTCCTCAGCCGACAACTCGTTGAAGTTCTTCAGTAAGGTCTCAAGGTCGGAATCTGACAGCCCATCCATAGCATCAGGAGCATTTGATGCATTGCTTTGGTCCATCCTAGTTTTTAGGGATACATATTTATGTGTCATAAAATATATTTATATCAGATGGGCAGATAAAAGCTTTACAATGTATTACTATTTAAAGCTATATTTTATAAAATGATAGTCAACTTACATTTTTTCGTTGTCGTCATACGCGGACTGCAGCAATTGTAATGCTGAGGCAGTCCCACTGGCTTTCGGAGGCAAGGTTTTCGCTGGTTGTGATGTTGGTTGCATGTTCGATACTACTGCTGGCTTCTTGGCCTCCTCAGCAGCTCGTTTCTTCGCTTCTGCCATACCGACGACGGCGTCCACGAGTACGGCAAGGTCTTCAGAAGAGACGTCTGTTTTGCCCTGAGCTATCAAAGCTTCAGCCATCTGTTGTGCGATCTGGGCGCGGTCTACTTCACCCACGCCTGCTACTGGGACCGCAGCAGGTTTGCTCGATTCGACAGGTTTCTAAAACATAGTTTATTATATGTGTGAGTGTCTAGTAATTTAATGAAAAGCACGTGAAGGTGCATCGAAAAATAGGAATGTAGTGTGTGTACCAGCGCGTGTAGCTTCCGCTGCGCGCGCTTGTCAGCCTCGTGCAGCGTGGCGGCGGCGCGCACGATGGCGGCGCGCAGCGCGGCGCCCGCGCCCGGCGCCACCAGCCCCGCCTGCACCGCGCCCTTCAGCTTCTCCTTCGCCGTCTCTATCAACACCACTGCCTTCTCGCTCTCCAACAATGCCTCTGACGAGTTAGCTTTCTCCTGTGTATCAAACAACATTTTATCAGTACCGAAATTTTCCTATGAGTTATTCTTTTACGATTACGTGATCGAAAGGTAGCCGCGTTTAAGCCCTCTAGTAGGTTAATTAGCTTGAATTAGACCTATGAACGTCTTAAACGTTTCAGCCGCGCTAAATTAAAGATTTAACATTCAGATGAACTTTCCCCGAGTGGTCACTTTTATTGATAAAGAAGCACAGACAAAAAAACATTCAACCAAACAACTCCAGATTTTTACGGTTGCCGAGATTGACACGGAAACAATTCATAATCTACTTAAAAACAATGTTTCATTGTGAAGAAAACTGTATAGATCACAATCCTTTTGATTTTTTGCTTGTAGTATGTCAACTTGTGCATATACAAGAAGCAACTAATCAATATTTTTAACCGACTTCCAAAAAGGAGGATAGTTCTCAATTCCACCGTATATATATGCTTTTTTTATTGAGATTACCTTCTCCATCTTAAGGGCTTCAGCTAGTAAGTCAACAATACGAGGCCCCAAGCTGCCAAGATAGTCTTCGAGGGCGACAAGCTGGCGCAGTGTGGCCACGACGTTGTCTCCGTCGGCGGCGGGGGGCGCACTCCTACTGGCCGAGCTGGACAGGCGGCGCCGGGGCGGAGGCCGGGGCCCTCGCGACGTGCTACTCGCGCGAGACCTCTCCGCGTGTACTTCCATCACCGATGCCACGGAGTCAATGTCATTGTCTGAATTCCAAGGTGAGATATCGTCCCTGCAAATTTATGTGTGAATTGTTTTTATTGAGAAGGGTATTTAGAGGGTGTGGCACGTAGAGGGCGGCACGTACGGCTTGAGTTCGTCGTCGGAGATGAGCACGGTCTGCATGGAGGGCGGCGGGTGGGCGGCGCGGGCCTCCGGGCTGCGGTTGCGCTGCGCCTCGCGCTGCGACAGCGGGCTGCGGCTGCGCCCCGCGCCCGACGGGCTGCGTCTGCGACAAATTAAACCCACTTTTTTACTAACCTGCATGCCTCTCGTATACCGACGATAACACGTTAACTTCATTAAACCTTATTTTCTGACGAGACTAGTTATAAAAATGACTCCTTGGAATAAGACAAAAAGCTAACAAAAATCCTTTCTTATCTATCACGAAATATTTAATAAAGAATAAAATTAAATTAAAAATTTAAAAAAACCCCCGACTTTATAAAAACCAAATGTAATGAACGGAACGAGATATCCATAAACAATTATAATTCCTATAAAAATGGATGGATATGGATATGGATATCAAATGATATCAATATATCCATAAAGCGCCATTTTGTAGAGGCAGGCATCTTGGATTTTAAATTTTTCATACCTAATAGTATTTCACTAGTCAAGCCCTTTCATTTGATACCCATATTGATCAAGTTGTAATAAAAAAATGTAAAGCACCATTTTGTAGAAGCAGCCATCTTGTATTTTAAATTTGTCATATCTAATAGTATTCTACTAGTCAAGCCCTTTCATTTGATACCCATATTGATGGAGTTTAAAAAAAATATCTAATCTGCCATTTTGTGGCGGCGGCCATCTTGGAACAATTTTCATCAAACTTACGTAAAAACACTCTCGACATTTTCTAGTGTCAAACAAAAAAAACTAAATCAAAATCGGTCCATCCGTTCGGCGGCTAGAGTGGTACAGACAGACACACACACACACACATAGACACGTCAAACTTATAACACCCCGTCGTTTTTGCGTCGGGGGTTAATAAAATAGAGAAATTGAAACAAATAAACATAAGGATAGTGTTACCTTGAGAGGGGACTTCTAGATCGAGTTTTATGATACGGCAATGGAGACCGGCGACGTTCGGGTGTCCGGCGACGATCCGGTGACCGACGACGTTCCGTTGACCGACGACGACCCGGCGACCGGCGCACGGGAGGCAATGGAGATCTGATGCAATAAAAAGTTGATAACAATACAGTTAAAACACGAAATTTTGCGATATTGATCCCCAATAGCTTATAAATATTATATATTTATATATATATCCTATTAATAAAAAAAATATCTAACCTAACCTGTGATAGGAACAGGTGTAGGTATAACTTACCGTCGTGATCGATGGTATTCGGGAGTACGTCGACGGGGCAAAGGTTCGCGGCTGCGGCGCTCGTAGTCATGTCGGTCGTAGCGCTCCGGATGCTCGGCTCGATGTCGCTCCGGCAGCTCCGCTCGGCGTCGGTCCGGTTGTTCCGCTCGGTGTCGCTCCGAAGAGCGCCGCCGTGACTCCGGGGAGCGACGGCGAGGCGAGAGCGACTTCTTGCGTAACCTTTAATTAATCGTTTAAGCGTCAACTTTATTATTTAGAGAGTGTTATGGATCGGATTTTTAATGCATAGAACTGTTACTGAAAAACATTCGTCCCAATAATCCCCAACAACTCTCCTGAGTCGTTGTCAAAAAACGTGGTAATGTGTAGGTACTTTTCTTTGTTGTTTACCTGTCTGGTGATCTCTTGTTTACGTCTGGCGGCGACAGACACATGCGGCGATAGATCTCGTTGACTTGCACGCGCAGTTCCTCCTCATGCAGCTCCTTCATGCGAGCCGTCCAAAATACTATCCATTCCGGCTTGAAGTCGTGCTTCGACGGATCCTTGCCCTCTGAAATTGCATATTATAGTTTACATATTTTTTGGAACTTAAAATTATATTTAATTAAAAAACATTAAGCTTTTCTAGTTTTCCAATTCACAAATTAAATGTAGGGCATTGTGAGTAGACCCGAACTTAAATAATATAATGGTATACTAGCGTTGTTTTCTCAAGTTATTCCATATAATGCTTAGCAGGGAGGGAAGATTAGGATATGGTGTGACATACCAGCCTGTATCTCTTTGTACCGCCTGTTCCAAAACTTTTTCCACTCCTCGGGATACAGAGGATGTTTCTCCGGGTTCTTCTCATGGTAAGCCAGTGTCTTCTTCGCTGAATCTTCCGCTGCGAGCCGCTTCTCTTCAGCTAGCTTCACCTTGTACTCGTACTTCGGAGGCCTTGATTGCTGTGCATATAATGTTGGTGCGGTAAATAAACTGTATTATTAGACAATTTCTATTCTGCCTCCCGTGTACAATGTAACTGAATCCTTTTCTTCAATACTGCCAGTATTAGTATTACTCTGCCAAAGAGGCAGTCTAACCACATACATAAAAATGTTCAATAAAATAAAGGTAAAGTCTATTTACCTTCTCCTGAGACAGGCTGTGTTGCGTCCGCACCGCAGTCCTGCGCGTCGGCGAGACGTTGCGCCGGTCCGGGTAGGGCTCATAGCGAGATTTGCTGAGATTGCCGGGCCTCTCCCTGTTACCATTATTTCATTAGAATATAGTACAAGTGCCCGTTACTTGTTATAAATACTGGCGACTTGATTCGGATCACTATCGAAATATTATTTTTACTAGTATAAAGCTTGCACGCGTGACTTTACCATGACTTACATGCATATTTTCATCTCCTGACTCCCAAATATTATATGAACGAAATTTCATGAAAATTATTATACTAACATTAACAGTAGCTACCATTGTAATTCTTCTAAGATGTAACGCGACTTACTTGGAAGATCGACTGGTAGTTTTGGAGGCGAGACGGCGCGCCTCGAAGTCCCCCTCGTCGCTGATGTCAGACAGCGACTCCACGGAACCCGCGCGCCGCTCCTGCCGACCCGCCGGCCGCTATAATTGTTTCATTTCATTATTGTTCCATTAGTGCATTCATTATAATTCAAAATTTACCAACTACTTTACAATAATACTATTATCTATATAATTAATGTATAAAAATCAATGCCACTTTCGTTGTAACTCAACAATTCCTATATCGATTTGGCTAATTTTACGTAACGTAACGTAATTTCTCGTCATATAAGCAATGATGCCATGGGCGCATTTTTTGGTAACGGATGATCAAAGCGTGGTTGGTTCCCATGGAAATATTTAAAAACTCAATTGCATATATATCTACATGAACAAATGTTTGAAGAGGACTTTATTATACTTACTTACTACTTAGATATTTACTGTAAAAGCTTTATGTATGTATGAAGGCATCTGGTTCAACTATTGTGTGATTTAGAAATATACCGATTTTAGGAAGTAAGAATCAAGCAGTGGCTAATTAAATATCTATTAAACTGATGAAACTTGTAATCAGGAATTATGAAACAGACTATTGATCGTGACGTTTACGTTATAGTAAAAAAATTACATTATTACATTTGAAATATCACTCACCGAGAAATTGTTAAATAATGGCTTTGACGGCGCAGCTATCACGGGTGGAGATGGCTCTTTCATATCCCTGAAGCAACAAAAATCATTACTGAAGAGGAATGTGTGACGAACGTACTTCTATCGTAATCATTCATAACTCATCATCAGCCGTATGAGTCCATTACTGAACAATAGCCTCTCCTTTATTCATCCACGTCGAAGCGGAGTATCGGTTTCAGGGCCCATAGATCGTCAGTCTTTCAGCCTAGTCTACCCATAGCCAATTTTACGACCTGTGTCGATAAGTGGTTCTTTAGGGAACTTTCAGATTGCAGAATTTGTCGCCCAACGAAACTTCGAACATGGCCCTCTATACCACGCGCTAAAGGACTCTCGAGTTTATTTACGAAGTCGGAAGGTATCACATCAGGAACCGTACGTTGTTACGGTAACACATTCACAACTTTTTTTATTTTTAATACATACATAAATGCAAGGAATATTTCATAATTTAAGTGATTTTTCATAACGCGCTCTCCAATAAGCTGCACATAAAAATGCTACACCTAATATAGCGTAAGACACTTACTTGGCTGTCTTTGAGTTTTTCTTATCATCGTCTGAAACAACAATAAAAAATATTAGATATCGTTATGATACAAATGGGACATTATTAAGTTTTGTATATTTTTTAGTAGCTGCCGGCCGCGGCTTCGCCCGCGTGGTATGCTGATAAAAAGTAGCCTATGTCCTGTTCCAGAATGTATCCTATGCCTGTGCTAAATTTTATGTGATTGGATAGCAAACATCCAAACATCGTAACTTTCGCATTTATAATATTATTAAGAGGTAAGATATCGGTGAGGTGGTGGACAATATTAAGTCACTCCTCATGCACGACGACAAGCAAAATTTTTCATAAAGACAATAATGGAAGTGAATTGATATTGGTTCTTAACGAGCATTTCAATGCATTGCATGCTTTTTAAGTGCAGGAAAGTCATGCTTCGGTACGTATGGGCCGGCTTGAACAGAGTGAAATTACACTTATGATGTTGCGCCGTGTGAGTGAGGTTATCAGTGGCCCAATCCTTACCCGACCCCCAATTCTTTTCGTATCCCAGCCGGCAACGCACTTCTAATTATTGTGGTATTACGAATGTTCATTGGCGGCGCCGATTATTTACCACCAGATGATACGTTTGATCGTTTGCCGAAGGATTCCATAAAAAAAATATTTTCGGTTGAAACTATTTTTATCATAAGAATCAGTCAGGTTATTCAAAAGATGAAAGTTTCTGTGCTAAGTTATAAGTAAATATTGTATAAAAACTCACTAGACTTATGCAGGGATTCTAACAATCCAATGTCAACAACTTCTATGAAAGATGGACCATCCTTCTCAGAGAAATGGTGTCCTTGGAAAATCCACTGGTGAATCTGTTCCCTGTAACAAATTGTTTGTTATTCAAGAGCTTGGGATGTTAGTTTGTTAAAACGAACACAAGTCGTGCAACCATATTATTATTAATACTTAGTAAAAAAATATTTAAAATGTTGCTCATGTGTTTCATGTGTGTGATTGTTCCCGCTTCCAAAGAATGTGTGAAGCAGTGAGTGTTTGAACCTGGAGAAGTATAATTGTGTTTTTCCAAGTCCCCAATATGTTTAAGTGAGTAAACCTTACTGGATTACCAACGACGAAAGTTACATTTCATGTCATTTATTTTATATTGATCCAGGCATTGTTGCGTTATGCGCTTACGAATATTTTTGCCATTAATTTTTTACTTAGTATACGTAACGGATCCAATATGGCCTATATGTCTTTGAGAAAACCTAACATTGGGACAGATTACAGGCTGGTTTCTCGGAACTCACTTGTTCTTTTCATATTCTTCTTTGTCGATGTTGACGGGCTTTAACCTTCCGAACTTGTCCTCGATGCGCTGCGTCAGCCGATTCACGATGATGCCGACCCCCTCGCGGTGCTTGTGCTGGACGCGGTACGGAGATAGCAGTGAACACGCTTGCTGGTAGTGACGCACCTGCAATGACAAAAAACTTCCATTTTTGCAACAAAATTAAACAATTACAATAATTAATGTCAGTTAAAAGAGCTTCTGACACAGTATTTTCAAATATTTTTTAGTGATGAGATAGATGATGTTGATGTACTGCTTGAACTGGTTTAATTTTGCAAAATATTTATTTTATCTGTGGCACCTATATAGAGTTTTGCCACTACCATAAAGTACCGGATAAATTCAACCAGCAGATATTTATTACAATTCAATTGACATTGTAAAAGTAATAAATTATTAAATTTTCATAAAGTTAACAAAAATATACTTACGAGGTACAGAAAGCGATGCCGGAAGCACGTCATGTGGTTGATGATGGTCCGTGGATGGCCATTCTTGGAGCACAGAGTGCAGATGTAGGAAGGCTCGTAGTGAGCCTGCTCAGGGGGGTGCTCGATCAGGTACTCTACGCCCACTAGCGGAGCCCTATGTAATGTTAACATTTGTCAAATTTTAATTAAATTCCGAATGGAAGATATTTTAGCTAATTTAGGATTTGTCTCAAATCAAATCAAATTCTGAAATAAAAAATTATAATATAAAAGCAGACCACAACAGGCACTTTTGAACGCCAAGCATAAAAGATATCATAAGGCTTAACTTTATATGTGTCAGTCTGTTGGTCTGACCTCTAGTAAAGCTATTTGCTTGTTCCAAAGTGAGAAAATGAAGACTCCTATAGAGAAGAATGTGCAAGACACTCTTCATGGTTACACTTTTTCAATCAGTTTCAGAATGCTTTGTTACATTTATACCACTGAATGTAAAATCATATCTGGTACACCTCAATAGATTAATTTAGGGCTACTATCATCCTATATTTAAACACCTCAGCTCTGGTAATGTAAACTGCTTATGATCATACAAGCAACCTGTAAAAATTGGCACTTTACGATATGTGGGCTATCATTAAAATGGACTATGAACTTACTTAACAGAGTCTAGAGAATCCTGAATGTGGCAAGGAATGTTCTTGTACTTATTATACTTGTTCTGGATCTCGGCATCCTCCGCCAACTTTTGCAGTACTTTCTCCGATTCTGTCACAAAGTACATAAATTCGTAAGTAATTAGGATTTAAATATAATAAAAAACAATCACTGAAAAGCACAAACAAAAGCGTATAGTCCAAAACTACTAAACCAATTTAGATAATTATTTTTTATTGATTTTCAAATGGTTTTTGTGGCAAAGAGTTAAAAACTTCTCCTCGGATAAGATATACCTGGGTCTAGCAACCAGGCCAACCAGTTTTATGATTAAATAAAAAACTATTAAATACTTCGGACTTTCTCGTTGTATGTGGGGTCTGACCCTTATAAGAATAAAATACTTGTCGCACACGATAAGATACTTACGGACTGTCTTGCCACCACTTAGATTGAATGGGTGGTCCGTGTAGATGTTCAATGGCCAAACGTTTCGTAAAGTCAGCTTATTCTTGTGTTTCTTCCCCGACATATGCGTCTGAGTACAGAAATTAAAATAAATCATAATAAAAAATAATAAACATAATTTCAGTTTTAATATAAACGTGAATGTGATTAAATACATTATTGTTACAATTATTTCAATTGGTATATTTAAGCAATACAATCTTGTGCTGTCTTAGATCATAAAAGTGTGATCATCTCGCAAATAAATGATATACTTAGTGGACATTCTATTTCAAAAATAATTTCGTCGATATCTGCCGAATTTCATTAATAGAAGCCTTATATCCAACTTTGTAAATATTGACAAACTACTTGATCTTTAATTCATGTAGTCCTCGTGTAAGCGTAAAATCTAATAATGATTGTGATGTATGGTAGTAGGTAGTAGGTGCTGACCTGCAGGATACTCTCCCCGCTACATACAGCGGCGCACGGGTAGCACAAGTAGATCCACTTTCCCGATATGTCGCGACCGCGCCGCTCCACCATACACCGAGTGCTGCCATCTTCAAGGTTGATCTTCAAACTGTTCAGGTGCTCTTGGAACTCCAACTCCGCCTATGAAACATTAAAAAAAAACATTATAATCCTATGCAAGACATATTTTTTGTTTCTTCTTTTATCAAAGACCAATATAAGCACTGGCCAAAACCACGACAAAACGGCGAGATTAAAAAAACTTTACGCCTATTCCGTACGTCAAACAGCCGAAACATGGGATAATATATCAAATAAAACAGATCAATATATTATTTTTATTCGTTTATTAAATTTTATATACTAAGTTATTTTTTACTATTGATACTTACCTGAGCACTGCTACACACCTTAATATAATATAATGTTTTCGCACAGTAATACTATTGTGTGATAATGTAAATGTTAATAACAGAACGTAGTTGCACGGCCCGTAAAAATAATAAAACCGATATCAATAGATTTGCCTCCCCATTTCTAGTATATTCCGAAACTTGCCCCGTGACACACTTATACTACCGAACGTTTTTCATATGCATCAATTGTAATAGCATATCTCAAGCAAATAAGCAAGATATAGGTATATCTAGGTACTTGTAATAGCTATTTCTATCAATAACCCTCCATTTTATTAACTGACTAAAGTTAATTTAGTTAAAATCAACTAAGGTGAAAATAACAACAAGTGTTGACAAATATTATACGTAATTTATATTATAAAGAGCATAAAAAATATATTTATGACGTATTCAGGTAATTTTCCGAACCGTATAATAATGTTCTTAGATACTCTTTTGTAAAAAAAGAACAAAAATAGACTAAGACTGGAACTTCTATACAGGAAACTGATATTACCTCACATCTAGGTAGGTAGAAATATACTTTTGGATCCAACCATAATATAGTTTTTTTTTACACACAAACACTTACCAGACATGAAGTTTTAACTCTTTTATTTATTATTAATATTAATATGACTGAAGTAGTTTTTATTCAGGGCAATTTGCTTTATGACTAGTTATAACACCTATCACTAGATGCATAATTTTATTTTATCAACCTGATAATTCTAAAATATCTAATACTAAAAAGTGTCATCACTCAATTTTTTACATCCATTGCAGTTCTCGGCTGTTAAATTTTCCCAAGTAATATTGTCACTATATAAAGCTAAAATATAAAAAAATGAATGTTGATAATGTGTCAGTAGTAAAATCTAAAAACCCTGTGTTCTATTCGCAAACCCCAGACTAAATGCTTTAATAGTTGAAACAGTTTCTTAACTTGTACCTTCAGTAGAAAAAATAACTAAACAGTTCAACAACTTTTTAATCCCTATTATTTTTCATGTATCAATACAAAGGGTGTCCCTAGACTGTCCCATGTTGCCTTCCATTAGTGCATACAAAAAATATTGCCTTTTTGGATAATTGCGAAATTTCATCACGATGTTTGTTACTCTTTTCCACAGCCACTACCAATCATATCCAAATGAAACTTGACACACAGTTTCTTAATACTTTGAAATAAAATATAGGCTACTTATTGTACCGTACATTCCAAGTTGAAAAAAAAATTAAAAACAAAAAAAATAATAGAAATGTATAAATTTTCGCGACGTCGCGTCGTTGTGTCGTGCAATACTGCACAAAAAAAAGTAAGCACCGAACGTGGCTTGAATTCGAGTTCTCTCAGCAACCAGTTACGCCATCAGAAAAAGCCGTAAGTAAAGAAAATGTGTCTAACCAGAAATATTATAAAAAAAATATTTTGTGCCTAAACCATCAGAAATCTAAGAGAGATCATCAGAGATCGAGAAACCATCATCAAAAAGGCAAATAAAATCGTTGTAAAAAGCCCACTTTAATATACTTTAGTATGTTTTGTTTTTAGTATTTGTTGTGATAGCAGCAACATAAATTAATACAATATTTGTGTAAATTTCAACTGTTTAGCTTCACGGTTCTAGAGAACCAGCCTGGTCACAGTCTGATGGACGAATAGGGTCCCGATTTTACCAAATGGAAATGGAACCCTAAAAATATTAAGTAGGTGGTATTATATCTCAGATAATGATATCATATTTTATTCAGTTTACTTTTAAGTGCCTTTTTTTGTAAAGAATTAAAGCAACAGGATTAAGGTTTATCAATGTTTAGTATCACATTTCTATGATACTGTTCTAACCTTTAAAACAAAAAGGTGAGTGATTTCTACTCATAGTATAATGAATTTTAGTATAAGCTAGTTTGTTTGGTCTACTGAGAACATTTGTAGCTGTAGCTTTTGTCTTTTATAGAACTGTCTGGGAGTCATAGGGGATGGAAACAATGTTACCCATTATCAAGCTGTAACAACTTAAGCAAACATATGCTCCTTGTGTCAAAATAGAGGATAATAAACGGTTAATATATTTATCAAAATTTATTTGAAACTAATTACTTCAATATTGTATTAAAATAATAAAGTAAGTATTATATTTACCTTAGTACAAGATGGGTCTTCTAAGTCTGGTTTCCTAGGTACTTCAGTGACTGTGTCCTCATACCCTTCTGCCCCTGGAGGGCCATCTGGAAGGTCCATCTTGAAGCACTACACTTGGTAGTTTATGACCAAAAAATGGTCATAAACCTTTGTCACAATTCTTCAAAACACAAAATCTTCTCTCTTCTTTATCTTCAGTCACGCACAACTGTAACCCAAACCATTTCATGTCAAACTAACTAAACCAAAATAGACACTATGTAAAAATGCAGATTATAAATAAACAGATACTTACAAAAATCCAATATAAGGCATACTTACATAATGATGGGGTGGTTTCTATGCACTGCTAAGTGGCATACACATAATGTGAGAGATTGTGGCATTGTATCAACAAAATCACACATTCATGTTATACCCCATGCTTAATAATTTACATCATTAAACATTTACAAATTCACTTCATTGAATTCTGTCACAAGTAATCCTATATTTTCGTAGTGTCTTAAATCTTGTGACTATTTAAAAATAGTGATGTGCTAGATTGTTGAAATTTTATATCTAAAGATATGGATATTTGGTCTTAAGATCTGTGGATATTGACATGTATCGTATGATCGTAACCTTATGACACAATCAATGTTGGATTGCATATAATAATAACATTTGGAATTCAATAATGGTACATGTTAGACAAGATTTTTTTCATAATGTTGCCTTAAACTTCTACCCCTACTATTGGTTCGGTAACTAACTGTAGTGAACTTTGTAACATAAAAAATTCTATAATTAAATTTATTCCAATTAATTTCATTCAAACAATTTCATTAAATTTAATGACTAATTCACATAAACTTTGAGAAAAGCTCTACTATTTTCAAGTCACAACAGAAATCTTATTTTTGCTGTTAGTTGAATGATGTCGCTGTCAGTGACTTCACGTGAATATGTCATAATATTCAATAAATTTTGTATGTTTCATGATAGTTTCAATTAAAAAATTATAATAAAAAACTATTTTATACACTAATATATAATTACCAAGGTAATCTAGCCATAAATATCCAACCAAAAGTAATGGATCCAAATCTTTATTATGCCATTATGCCTTGAATATCCACAGATATATGTATGGATACCCAGCACATCACTACTGATAAAATATCTTTGATACATAAACACCCGTTTTAACATAATAAATATAAAATATTGTATTTTTGGAACACAATTCATAGCTACACACAAATTTATGAAAACAATTGTTACTATTGAAATATAAGTTGAAAACACAACATAATAAGTATGACTATGTAAATAATTTAGAAATAATTGAGAGCTATCAATTTATTTGTATTTAGGAATGGAACTGAAATAGGTATATAAACTTGCACTTACCAATGAAGTCAATGCTATAAGTAAGTATGTAACCACTGTTAGACTGAACACATAATCAGTGCTTTGTTGTATTTATTTAAAAGATGATTAAACCAAAAAATGGTAAATAAGTACTTCTTTCCTATATTATTATGGAATACAACGAAATTAATACATTCGGCTTTGTGTTAAATAGGTACACACCATCCCAAAATCATCGCTTAAATATTATGAGGACTCGAAAGTCGGAAAATAGCTCTAAGCTTATATTAACATTTTCATTTAAATGAATCAACAACCTTGTCCCGTAAACATATACCGTTGGTTTCCTGAGTTTTATCAATTGAATTAAATGCAATATACTAACCTCATAAAGAAGTACACCAAGATTTCCGTCAATCAGTAACAAACTCTGTACACATATAAATTAAAATGAATACATCGTGGAGATCGTTATAAGCTAATCTAATCAAACAAACGCTGATGTTTTTTTCAGTAGTCCATCGTAAAAGTACGATATTGATTACACTTTTTAGCTTGATGCTGAAGTCAGCAGGCAGAAAAGCAAGTTAGAAGCAACCTTCACATTAAAACTCTATCAAGTTTGGAATACCACTATTTTTACTTGGAACAAGCGAGAGACACCGAAATCCCTGTTGTTTTGAATAGAAAACTGACATAAGTGCAAACCTCGATAATTTGGTCGTATAATAATACCAAGTGGCAGTTCCATAGACAAAACAAACTCTATTTTCCTACACCAATAGACAAATTACAATAAAATGTGTATCTTATCATGGGTATATACATATAGTATGCACCATAAATCTGATAATATTATATTTACTTTTACTATGGTAAGCAAACAATGGCGGATTTACTACGAATCGCTACGAATAGGCCAAGTAGTTATAATCTAAGCTTCAAACCGTAGCACGAGCATCATCTCTCTGGTCGCCTTGGTCTTTCTGTTTACCAAAGAGTAAACTAATAAAGGGGGAGTGCTGTTTACCTTTAAGTAGTTCTTAGCAAATTATTTTCTGTTATCTGATTGTTTGGAGAGAAAATAAATAAACAATTATTATTATTCATATTAATTTCAATTTAAATGCTGAATCAACTAACCCTTGTCAGATAGACGTTAGATACGTTTTGGAATCAGGCGAACCGTAAACCGTAGGACATAAATTATTATGATGACTGCAAGTGAATCTTTTAGGGTTAATACGTTTATCGTCCTCGTAGATCGGCTCGTTTCAGAGTTAGAGAAACGGCAAAAGGCCTACCACGAATTTTATGACAATGTTTCATTTCTAAACAAAATGAGTGAATTGTTGCCATCGAACCTAAAGGAAAAACCAATTTGTTGGAAAAAATTTATCCTAATGTTTTGGAATCTTATTTAGTTCAGGAATGCTTACACTTTCAATGCCCCCTTTCTTTTGAACGAATTTCAATAAAACTAGAATCAGGATCATTCTAAACTCTATCTTTGTTTCTGCGAAAACAGATTTTTTACAAACGTGGAGCATATTTAATTGATACAAACTTGGATATATCTCTTCGCATGGCTCTGTGCTCACCGGTGACAAATTGTTCAGTGACAGCTTCAGCCAAGAGTCGGACGGGAGGGAGTGTCAGACTCTTGCTAACAAAAAAATCCGGGGTTCCTTCTCCTGCTCTGGGATGAGGCCGCGGTGCCTTATTGCACTTGCCCCGCAACCCCGGCTGAACATCAGCCATATACAGCCCCGCGTCTGCAGCGGTCTATTGGCTCTTTGATGCGCGCTTAACACTCTACATGCCATAAGCTTGGGCGACGAGTTGCCCTTACTCGCCGTCCTCGGGTTAGATCCGCGCTTACGGTGGCCGGAGATCCTGTCTTTATCTCCGACGCCCGGACTGGCATAGCTTCGACTACGGTCGGCAGCAGAGGTCGCAGCCACCGATCACTTCCCCGAAGACACGGCTGTGTTCATCCCAAGCAGGGCACACCAGCATCGTATGCTCCACCTTGTCCTCAGGGTCGTTCTTACAATGACTACTCTCGGACGTTTTCTTCCGCCGGATCCGAAACAGGAACCTACCGAAGCTACTGTGCCCGGTAAGCACCTGCGTCAGGTGGAAGGTAAGGACGCCGTAGCGTCTCTCAAACCACTATTCAAAGATCGCTCGATCGATCCTTACCGCTGATATAAGGTAATTTGGCGCGGCAGAGGATCCTCGTCCGGGCGACGCGCGTCGACGCGAGCGTCTTCGCTTCCAGATCCCACGGCGGTGATCCGGCCATCCATCCACCTGGAAGTGGCGCGTTCCAACGGCCATAAAAACACATGGCCTCGGACTTGTGGAGCGCCACCTCAAGTCCCAACTGCCGGATCCTAGCAAAGCAACGACTATCGCAACCGCTTGTGTCATGAGGTCGGCTACCGCCTGATGCACCCAAAGTCCATCAAATCTACGGTACGAAGTTCAGCGGGTCAGCTAGTATAAGTATATAAATCTAATAAATACCTTTCTAATTCCTGTCTGTCTGTGAGAGGAGATTCCTCACTTCCTTCTGCATGCTCTTTTCCATTTTAAATGATCCTTATGTTCCTGAACACTAAAGGTAGTCTAGCTTCTTTCTTGTGTAATTCCTTCAAAGTTAGTGTACCTACTTTAAATAATTATGGCACGCTATTTCATACTGGGGGCAGCGCAAAGAGTATAAAAGCATTATGTCACAGATTACTAGGTAAACTAAACAGCAATATTCTAAGTGGGGAAGCATTCCTAAATATTACTTATACTTTTTAACATAATATACTTTAGACGATAGAATAGAAAAGATTTAATTATTCCCTGTAATAAATAGGTACCTAATATCCCCCGAGTAAGTGATTCCTTTTTTATGTCACTAAAACGCACTCAGCTTTGCAGGGACTTGAAATAGGAATCTTCGTTCATAATATTATATATGGAGGAATTACTGTTGTATGCGCTAAGATATTACTATAGTTATGTATTCATAGTACTTTATTATACCTATACTTATAATCATTATTAAATGCGCTAGCTATGCTTCGGCACGAATGTGTCAGCTCGACCGGTGTTCTAAGTTATAACACGGCCTTACAGAAACAAAACATTCATCGGTTTTAGCTGTGTGAGTGAGGTTACTGGAGACCCAATCCTTCTCCCATCCTCCAACCCCAAATCTCTAAATCTCCAAAACAAACAAAAAGCAAACCAAATGTACTTACACAATACTTACTAGGTACTACAATGTTCTTCAAAGATCGTCTCTATTCCATGATTGGGCCATATTCCTATTTAATATGTAGGTATGCTGTGAAGAACTATTGTAAATTGATTTAGTAAGTAATTAAGTGTTATTATGTAGGTAGGAAGATAGCGATAGAAGATAGAAACTTTATAAATACCTAAAGGAATAAAAAACTGATGTATTTAATTAGTATATTTTTATGTTTAGTAAAAAACCGAACAAAATAAATTATAATAATTAACAAACTATGAATCATTATCCATGACCGTAGTTATAACTGCTCTCGACAAAAATATTACACCGGTTGAAACAGAGGCTAGTAAAACCGGATAGTAAAGCGGTTAATTGGCACAAAAAGTGGTCAGTATCATTAAATATTTGTTATATTTTTTAATCATAATTCTAAGATTTGGATAGCGGACACTGCCTGTATAAGCTTGTTTTATAGTAAAAATTGATCATTTGTATAAATTTCTACACATATCTTATAAGTGCCGTATCTAAGTAACGATAAATAAAAATATTCCATGAACAATACCAAGTTTCTCATTACATTTAAGCACATATGGAACCGCTAGTCTGATTTCCAAATTCCTTTCATTGATAGATATAGGTACAATGTTCCTTATTGCTATCTATGCTAATATAATAATTATAAATGCGAAAGCAACTCTGTCTGTCTGTCTTTTCTTTACGCCTAAACTACTGAACCGACTTCTGTGAAATTTGGTACAAACATAGTTTGGAACTCGAGAAAAGCCATAGGATAGTTTTTATACCAAAAATCTGCAGGAATTACACGCGAACGGAGTTGCGGGCAAAGGCTAGTAGGCTATAAAACATCATGTTGCGATCAAACGGAGCCGAGCAGCGTTTAAAACTGCGCGAGAGTAGCTAGTCTTCAATACAGCAAATCAAATAACATCTGCGAATTCAATGCATCTGCGTGTCTACATATTGGTTGTAAGGTACAAGCTAGCTCTTAATGAAACTTGGTATTTATTCAAGATAAATTAAATATGTATTTTTTATTTTCATACAGAATCGAATACTTTCGCCTATACATATATCATGTGACGTTACAATTAGGACAAGTACTTGGGACCCTATATTTGCTACTGAGTGGAAACAAAAATTTATTTTGTAAGTATTTTTTTGTTATAAAAAGACAAAACAAAAAATACGTGACTAAAGTTTTTCACTAAGTAGGTACCTACTACGATTTTCATACCTTGTCAACATCACTTATATCGCCATTAATAATACGAACTTGCTTGTAGCTATATAAGTATCTACCTATTGCGAATTACATTTTTTTCATCCACATCAAGAAGAAAACTACTTAGTAGAACTTATCTGATGATCAAAGGCACAAATGGCGCAGTCGCAGATGTAGATATGCATATTATGCTCTATATCATATTTATTACTACACCTACATACGTACCTAACCTACGTATCGTGTAATACATGTTCAGCTTCTATAATATAAAAAATAATGAATGGTCAGGCAAGGATCCCAACTGAATCCATACCAAGATAATTGTTACGTACATTCCAGCGGCGTTGTACGGAAAACAATGCAACATAAGTAAAACATTTCGCACAAAATTCGTCGAGGGCATTCACCGAAAAGTTCGAAGTCTCAATGCTAATTAGCCACGAAGATTAGCCCAAGCGACTCGGTGGACCTGTGGGGCTGTGGTCAACGGAGCGCATTCACAACCGCGGTCAACATGCGTGCACACGGACGCGTGCCCAGCGCTCGCGCGTACGGCGTCCTCTTACGCTCGGTTTACATTTACGCGTGTATCTCACTCACCACAGGCTCCGAGTACGGTGTGCCAATTGAGATAAAATTATGGGATACTGGTAGAACACCTTTAGCTCACATGGTGGATGTTACGAACGGGTTCGGTTTAAAAGTGCTAGCTGAACACAACTTTTTAAATGATAACAATATAGCATTTTCACCGTATGGACTGATGGGGATCATGGTGGCCTTGTATGAGGGAGTTGATGGAGAATCTTCCTATCAGATTCAGCGAGGGATGCAACTGCCATGGAACAGGAATATCATGAGGATAGGTTTCAGAGATATACACCGCACCTTAAAAGTAAGTTCTAGACTAATATTACCTATACATATTTTAAATTGGAATAAAATGTAGGTACCTATGTAATTTTATACTATCTTATAAATACAACTGTCAGGCACTCTCACTATTGTTTTGATCTGTGACTAAAATGTAACAGTTTGTAACTTTAGGAAGTACGCCCGGTAAATATGTAGTAGGTATAGGTAGATAGGTATTGTTGCTATCACATAATATCCCTTTCGATTTCAATCCGTTACTTTAATTGTGACTTTCGTAGGTACCTTAAACCTGTTTATTGAAGCAAAAAACTTAACTACTGAGGTAACTTTAGTACTATATTTTACTCCAAGTTTAGAAACATCTGCTACACAATTGCACAGTTTAGAGCTTACCTTAGCAATTTTCTTCAAACAGTAATTATATTTGTTTGAAAAACAGCTTCAAAAGTGATAGAGTACCTACCTATATCAAGTCTAAATAGTAGGTATATACAGGAACTTGCCAGATTAATTTCAGATAAAGTTTTAATATATTTGTACACAGATTGTCGACGCTGATTGCTTAAAACCTTTTAAAAAGGGCAGAGGATATCATATTTAGTCCTATTCCATGTTTATCTTAATAAACTGTATAAGTAATGCTAATGTCAACTAATCTAATGCAAACCTATATCTATTATAATATTATAAAGAGGTAAAGTTTTCGTAGAATATTAGTTGGTATATGGGTAGGTAAAGGTAGTTCAAATTGTAGTTAGGTGCAAATTATGGTAGAGCCAAGCATCAGCACGAATGTGTCGGCCCGACCGGACGTTTCCGGAGGCCCAATGCTACCCCTCCCCCAATCTTAAAATTTCATAATCCCTTATCTCCAAGAGATCGGCGACATAACTCCTCTGTTGTTGCGGGTGTCCAGGGGCGGCGCTGATTGCTTACCAGCAGGTAACCCGTCAGATCGTTTGCCGTCCTGTCCCTTAAAAAAAAAAAATACTTACCTAGGTACATTCGATTAATTAGGTACCCACCTAGCCTCTTTTTCAAGCTACATGCATTTATCTAATCAATCACTATTCGCTGTTAGAACTTTTCTCATAACAATAAATCTGCTATAATGTAATTTACGTTGGCACGACAAACTGGGCAACAGTTACAATTAATATATACCTACATGTCAACTCAGTTCTACCTAATAGAATACGAGAAAAGAGATATCCTGACTGTCGCATGAGCTACGTAGGTACATCAATTCCTATAAATATTTTGTATTAATAATTTAACATGAAGCTTTAATTTCAGACTTATTTCGTACCGGAAGAAGGATTTCTGGCGGGCTTAGCGCTAAACAATGAAAATGTCACATTCAATGAGCCATACAGAAAGATTCTACGATTTTACGGTTTTGATCTAGAAAACGATCAGTTGCCAACACTCGCACCAGAGACAAACAACACTTCAAATGATACAAACTCAACTACGCCAAGTCCTCTTGGGAGCAGTGATGGCACAACTACGACGGAGGCGATGATGGCAGCTGTCCCAGCTCGAGAGGATGCCAGTACAGCTTCTCCAAATAGAGAAGAAACTACAACCACACTAAACCCAAATGCGGAGACAATAAGTACAATAGACATAAGAGGTGCGACATCGACTGCAGCAAGCCCATCTTCTGCACCAAATGAAGAGAGCACCCCTATGAGTACTAGCGTCACAACTACAAGAACTGAAACCGCAAACGAAATAGTTACGGAGCCAACAACACAGACAGAAAGTACCACACTGATTACTTCAGCAGCCGATACGCAAGCTATAACCACTGTTGCTCCCAGTACAGCAGCTGCCATGCAAACACTCTCCATGACTTCACAAGTGACAAACTCCGTATCTACTACTTTTACAAACGAACCATCAACAAACAACGAGGTCGATACATCATCAAACGCCGGAGTGCCTACAGTATCAACTACGGTTGATGTAATGACTGCCCCAGAACAGACCAGTACACTTGAAGCAAGCACCACTCAAACCAATGTTGATGTGTCAACGTCAGCTACAGACAGTCCTTCAACAATATCAACACTAACTGAAAACACTCCAATGGAAAGTGCTATGACTACAATTGCAGAAACACAGCAAACTGAGCAAATGTCTACAATGACTATGGACGATATGACCACTTCGTTGAATACAGTGACACCATTCAATGAAACCACGTTAGAAACATTAGAACGAAAGAAAAAGTCGATAGTAGACTTCATATTCACGAACCCCCCGTACATCGACGACTATTTGTATTATAGATCGTACGATATAGGCTCAGACGCTGCTAATCCCGGCTTTGATGACAAAATGTTCTTGGCAAATGGTCTGCGAAGTGTTCAGGTAAGAATATTTTAAAGTAGGCTTAGGCGTATAACTTAGGTGTTGATTGTGACTAAAAAGAGATTTTCAGAAGATCTGGTTCAACTTCCTCATGTTACTCGCTAAGTCTCATAGAACTAACTTATATCTAGTATTTTGTGGCATTCTCTTATTAAAACCTAATTAATAGCATTAGGTACGCTATTGCCCCACGCTTGTAACATAATAATCGTTATTTCGTGAATCGCACATCCTAGCGACATTGTAAAATGCCTATGTTATTTTAGCGTAACTACACAATTCGCATTATAAATTCGCCACAGCATTGCTTCTCATTATTCAAAACGATGATGGGTCAATTATTTGTACAGGTCACGTATATGCGATACGATACAGTGCTGGAGCACGCCTACCTGCCGCATTTAGAAGCCTCGGCTCTAAGGCTGCCTTTGGACAGCGATCGTTACTACCTGCTGGTAGTGCTGCCCACACGAGGTGGTGCCCCAGAGCTCGGACGGCTGCTGTCACGAATGGCGCGCGAGTCAGATTTGTCCGACATCTATTCGGTGCTGCGCCCTCGCCGCGTGAAGGGAATCGTGCCAAGCTTCACTGTTAAAGGCCACGTGACCTTAACTACAGATTTACAGAAGGTAACGATTTAGTCTCACGAATACTTTACTTTAGATTATCTTAGCGTGTTTTTGTTATTTTTGAAGTTTGATGTACCTACGCACATAGGTAGCCGGTATGGTCACATTGGTCGGTTGGGTACCCGAGTCACATGTCATAATCAAAAGCCCAACCTGCGGACCCTTTAGGTGGTTTTGCCAGATCCAAAAACTAAACCCTGTGTTCATACCTAGTACCTATTAAGTACCCATAATCACATGTAAGACCCATGACACAAGCCGGGTGGTCAACCAGGACAAATAGGCAGCCACAGAACACCAATAGATAAACACAACCAACTGTTTTTGACATAGTTTCGGCCAGGCTAACAAAAAGCTACGTTTATGTCGCTATTAACATAATAATTACTTTGTAGGTACATGCATAATTATATTCATCATATGGTGATTACGCACATATATGTAGGTAACCTATATAGCATTGTTGCATTACCTACCTAGTCTATTTTGAATATTATAAGTACTTACTATTCTGGTATATACCTACACTTTTACGCGTGGACAACAAAGTGTTCTCACGTCGCGTCGCAGGAACAAATAAATAGTATGCTAATGTTTTGATAAAATAATAAGTATTTAGTAAAAATCTTATGTAATTTGAGTGGGTATTAGGTACCTATTGTTTGCATTTTAAAAATTGTTGTGGCATAGATCGTTACGAAGATTTGTTATTGACCTTCAGGCCAGCCTAATGTGTTCATGACAATACTGTTTTTGTGATGCAACCGATGCAGATGAATTATTTAATTTCAGCTTGGTATTAGAGACGTGTTCGAACCTCGACAGCGCGACTTTACGCTGATGACCAAGCAAGCGGGAGTGTATGTACGAAGCATTGAACAGGCTGTGTCCGTTGCTATACGCAAGTATCGACCGGATGATCAAAAGAAAAATAGTGAGTATCAAAGAGACTAACAAAATATAGGTATATAATGTATGAATGTACCTACTTTCAAATATTCGGTACTACTTATTTTTTGTAATGAAGGCATGTGATAATGAACTTCGGGCCCTACTATCGCGCCGTTCCGGCTTGATCCATTTAATTGGTTACAACTTCACTGGATATGATGTGGGCGTGTGTGCGTGCGTGGTCACCCACAAGACTGGGGTCACTCGTCGTCGCCGTTACGGACCGACGCGCCGCCGTGATAGGACTGAGCTCGCACCAACCACCCGCCGGAAAATCCTTCAATGCTGTTGTTGCGCTCCGAAAATCAACTAAGTAATTTGGTGTCAACAATTAATGCTATTTGTAATCTCACAAAACTCAGATGAGTCATTGTCTTAAAACCTAAGCTACAATTGAACTAAGAGTAACAGGGCCACTTGTGACATTGCGAAACCACTGCAATAACATAATCGTGGCGGTGCTCTATATCAACAATGTTAAATGTTAACAACGCTTGAAGACTGATTTTGCGTCCTCGTTTTCCGGTGCAGGGACTGAGATAATTGTTACCAAAAGCGTTCTAAGTTAAGGTGTCAAGTGGCGAGAGCGTGCCAACCGCATCCATTGTCTCGTAGTGGTGGCGTAACGCGGCGACACGCGCATTTGCGTCCATTGATGCGCGGGCGCACTGCTCTCCGTATTCCATCGACAATTAGGGAAATCACCCGCTGCAACATCAATGCGACCTCAATGCTTAATCGCGAGATGAAAATGATGATTTGCAGATAGTCCGTCATTTCAATTACATAAACGAGTTTAACTGAAAAAATCACTACATGATTGTTTCCGGTAGGTACAGTTGGCTTATTCAGTTTCGATTGTTATGATTAGAGCCCCGTATTTGTATAGTATATAGCAAGGACGTTTATTATTAAATATTAATGTAATTATTGTTATAGCTATGTGTGCAATAGCCAGTTTGCAGGGTTATTTCGTTTTTCCCGTTAGAATCGCTACAATGAATAAGACGCCTAGATACAAATAATACTCTCTCACTAAAAACGCTGTTTAATCGAAAGCCCATGCTATCATCGAACTCAGTTATTTCTTTTCGTCTTAGTTGTAACTCATAAGAAGCTATCGAATTTGTTAGAAGCATCTCTCAACCTACTTGTACCATTGTGAAAATGGAATTCATCGCGTCAATGAACGCGCAATAGTGGTTCAGAAACGTATTCTCGTATACAGAGCACGAATGCCCTTAAAATGAAGTGGTAATTAAAAGCAGATGTAAACATTTCTTTTAATAACGTGGGGCGGCAAACGCTCTTGCCCACCACTTGATGCTAAGCAACCTACACGGCGCGGAGCCACCAAAGAACTACGTTTGGTTTTCAAACTTCACGAGTTCGATTCAGAATATAGAAAAGTTTCCTAAAATATAAAAATTGCCACTTTTCGTTGTAATTATATAACTTTACTGATTTGGCTAATGTTGTTCTTGAATTATTCGTGGAAGACCAGAGATTTGTAAGAGAAAATTAAAAAAATAAACTTGAATCGTAAATCTTTAACGTAAATCGAGATGCACGCGGGTGGAGCCAATGACGACCGCTATTTTCCTAGAATTTCTTTTTAAGCCCCCAACCTGCAGCGCTCTTTTATAATGATGTGGAATGCAATGTTGGAATCAATTTGTCCTCACCCGTGGAAAATTGTTAAGCCCACTTGTTTTTGTTACAGGATATGTATCAAATCGTGATCCAGTTGTATTTTCTGCAACCTATCCGTTCCTGTACTTCGTCATGGATGCGAATATTCACGTGGCACTCATGGCCGGCAAAATGGTAGACCCATTGAATTCAAGGATATTATAGTCATGCCAAAACAACTTTCTTTTTTTTAACATTAGTCCTATCACTGAGTTTTAATCATAGGTGGAAGCCACACCCAGGTGCTCAACGGATGTTCCAGGGAGAAAATCTCGGTGGTCATGACCCTCCCTGGGCTGGTTCCAGGACTTAGGTGGACATGTACATATTGTGGTGGTATAATTTATTTATACTTTTTATCACCACATCAACAGGTCTTATGTATTTAACTAAATCCTTAATATTTAATTAATGTACTATAATAACTTTGCATGATGGCAAGATGGCAAACGTTTGGAAACATACGCATCGACTAGAGGGGGGAAAATCATCAAATTACTAGGGAGTATCAGACTGTAACTGACTAAAAACACCCTATTTCTTCTCCCACAGTAGGTATTTGCGCTTGCTATCAACGCTGGCTGATCATCAGCTCTGTTGGACCCCATCTGTAGTGTTCTGTTGGTTATTTGAGGCACGCGTGGAACACTAGGTACTCGCTATGACACGGTCAGGTCAGGATCTGGTCAAGTGGCGAGTAATCCTTGCTAGAGCACATGCGTCCGGTGGAAGGTGAGGACACCATTATTTTTATCAGTTTGGTAAATCTTCATGGAGTGGGTCTCCAGATAGTCAGGCGGGCCCTGTCACCCCAAACGCAGGACTCCACTATGAGGCGCGCGCGGAACATGGCACCGCCGCATCGAGGCCTGCTGCTGGTCGGACGACAAGACGCCCCGGGTCTGTCGTCCGCAGGCCGCGCCCTGCGGTAGCCGCAGGTCGGTTACCCAACGACGTCTAGTGCGTCTGCTGCGGGAGGGAAGGGAGAAGGCAGCCTCTTTCTCCATTTCCACTGCCTCCTTTGCGAGCATCACGGCCTCGCAAAAGGCAACGACAGCACTCCAACCTGACCAGACCAGAGCACCTACGGCAACCGAGTCAGGCGCTGCTCGGCCCAAGCTAGACACTCCGCCAACGTATGCAGCGCCATATCGTCGCGGCAATCACTATAAAGGTGGCACTGAGGGGTCGGCTCCCGGCCTATGCGACACAAGTACTTTCCGAAAAACCCATGTCTGGTAAGCACCTGCGTCAGCTGGATGCTGTGGTTGCCGTGGCTCCTATTGAGCCACACCTCTAGAACGGGCCGCTACAGCGGCTTGCCCCGCCATGAGTTGCGCTAAACTCTGGTTGCAGGCTTGTATCACTAATGGGGTAGACTTAACTTAGTCCAATTTAACCCCACAAAGACACAGGTCTGCGTGTTCACAGCTAAAATTTCAGAGCACCCCCCTCATAGCCTGGATAACTGGCGTCGACATATCGATCGAAGTCCAGTTTCGCGGTCATCTAGAGGGTAAGGCCTCGAAGAAGCTTGGTGTGCTCAATAGATCGAGGCATTATTTCACAGCGGGGCATCGCCTGCTACTTTACAAGGCGCAAGTTCGTGTCCCTTCGTCCAGCATACTCACCATGGAATCCTGATATTTCATGAATGTCAAAAAACAGTTCTGAAATAGTGCTAAATAGTGCCCAAAGGAAAAAAATAGTGCTCTTGTACTTGCGAAGTTATAGCCATAGTTCGATGAGAATGCTGGACGAAGGTTTCGCCCAGCATACTCACCTCCGTCCGGAGAATCTGTATACGCTTCAAACATAATTCATACTTCAAAAAATAGTTCCCAAATAGTGCCAAACGGTGCCCAAAAAGAAAAAACAGTGCTCGAATAACTTCGGAGTTATAGGCTTCGTTCAGTGAGTATGCTGGGCGTAGGTTCTACGCCCAGCATACTCACCTCAGTGCGCGAATATCGAACGAGCTATAGGTACAATTTACGTCTCAAAAAATTGTGCTTGAAATAGTGCCCAATATCAGTCCAATTTTTGCTTGACTTTTGACCTAGAAAACCATTAAATTTGATTGTAAACTTCTACATACATTACATTGAGTACAGTCGAATACAATATTATTAACTTTCTTTCTAACAATTTTTGTCTTGTGTAAATTATTAATTGTCTATGTAAGGGAGTATTTACTTTAGAATCGCAATATTATTAATTACACATTATTTTAATAATACTTTATAATAATATGATTAAGCCATCGCGCGTCGCATGGGACCCCGGTAGCTAGGAACAATGATTTTATATATTTTGTCTAGATCACGGCGCTTGAAGGATTAAGATATCAAATGAAGTAAATCATGCATGAAAAATAAAGTTGCTGTTATTAATGCTTACATTACAACTGACAAAATTGACTTTGGCCCTTTAAATAGTAATAAATAACGTAAGTAATTAAAAATGTTTTTTTTTGCTAAACCTTTCATTGATGAAAGTATTGGAAAGAGTTTTAAAAATTTGTATAACTATGTCACAGTACTAGTTTTGACTGGTTATAAGTTTTGCCTGCAACATATATACAAAAAGAAACTGTATAATTTCCTTTTTACAATTTTTCAAGATATTAATTTTATTGGCTGCAAATGACTGTTTTTATTCAGACAAACACACAATGCAATGAAGTAATAGACTTCATTTACGCTTAAAGTTTCATTCATTTATTATTATTTATAAAATATATAATGCATTTAATCGAAAGTTTTTGACATGTGAGGAAATACCATAATTATTTCCAATAACATGAAGTCTACAATTAGAAAGTTTAATATTTTTGTCCAAAAACATGTGTCGACGACTGTACCCCATTTTACGTTAGTATTGTAGAAGTTTACATTAAAATTTAATGGTTTTCTAAGTCAAAAGTCAAGCAAAAATTGGACTGATATTGGGCACTATTTCAAGCACAATTTTTTGAGACGTAAATTGTACCTATAGCTCGTTCGATATTCGCGCACTGAGGTGAGTATGCTGGGCGTAGAACCTACGCCCAGCATACTCACTGAACGAAGCCTATAACTCCGAAGTTATTCGAGCACTGTTTTTTCTTTTTGGGCACCGTTTGGCACTATTTGGGAATTATTTTTTGAAGTATGAATTATGTTTGAAGCGTATACAGATTCTCCGGACGGAGGTGAGTATGCTGGGCGAAACCTTCGTCCAGCATTCTCATCGAACTATGGCTATAACTTCGCAAGTACAAGAGCACTATTTTTTTCCTTTGGGCACTATTTAGCACTATTTCAGAACTGTTTTTTGACATTCATGAAATATCAGGATTCCATGGTGAGTATGCTGGACGAAGGGACACGCAAGTTCGGTTCCATATGGAATACTGTTCTCATCTTTGGGCGGGGGCACCCCAGTACCAGCTTCTCCCTCTGGACCGCAGTCAATGACGAGCTGTCCGAATTGTCGACTGCCCTGTTGTCTCGGACCGGCTGGACTCTTTGGCACTGCGTAGGGATGTAGCTTCGCTATGTATTCTCTATCGCATTTATCACGGGGAGTGTTCTGAGGAATTGGTTGGTTTGATCCCCGCCGCATCTTTTTGCCATCGTTCCACGCGCAAACTTTTTAATCCCCATCACTTAGATGATTGGCAGTCAACAACTGTGCGATTCACCCGAAACTTTCTGCCCCGCACAGCAAAACTTTGGAATGATCTTCCGGCGGCGATATTCCCGAACCGATTCGACCTTCAAACCTTCTTAAAAGGCCAGTAACGCACCTGACTCCTCTGGTGTTGGGAATGTCCATGGACGGCGCCGATCGCTTACCATCAGGTGATCCGTCAGCTCGTTTGCAACATATTCCATAAAAAAAAAAAACGTGTTTGCCTCTCCGCCAATAAGGCCTGGTGGAGTTTTGTTTTCCGTGCCTCAACCTGTCGAGCTTTTATTCCCAGTCGCCCCCGCAAGGATTGCCACCGGAGGCAAATGGGAATAAAAATTCCCAGTCGCCGCCGGAGGCGACTCCGACCTCAACCGACAGCTTTCTGGCGAGACTAAAATGGTAGCTGATCAGATATATATAAAATAAAAATTTTATCCCCTGGAATAGTATCAAAACAATATAACATAAGGAATATTATTAAATATTCCCTCTTCTAGATTCACAATAAGCGATTTCCAGGATCGCCGCCGTCTCGTCGACCTTGTGTCAGGAGGCTGAATAGTGTGTGTCCGTTACCCAGGCCAGATGTTGTCGATAATGGTCATTTGAATCTTATAGGTAATTAGTTGTGCGGCTTCTGTAATTGTTGCGCACATTTTTAAATTTGTTGCGCTTATAGTTTTTTAATTATTTCACAAAAACATTTCCTGCTGGCGTAACGTTACCACAGCCAGACCTTTTTCTTTTTAATGGGAATATTTAAATAAATATTAGCTATAAAATTAGTTGTCTAGATAAAGTAAATGTTGTGCCTTATTTTGTATTTGTTCTTTCTTCGGTTGCGAAGTTATTTGAGATTTTGCTGCGGTAACGTTTTTGGTTTTGCTAGATCTTTGAAATGGTTAAGCGGATTCTTATCATATTTTGTACACGACTTCCGAGGACTTAGTTTAAATTTGTTGTGCAATAACAAAACCAAAATAATGCATATTTTAAAGGTTTTTTTCATTAAATAGAAAAACACTTCAATTGGCCCCAGCACTCTCAATAAGAAGTCTAAAGACTTACTTTAAACGTAATTTTAAAGCTTGTAACTGCCTTCAAATGTATGTGAAGTTTCATTAGTTTGCCGTAAGTATTTAACAAGTTATGATGATATTCAGTTCTTCACGAGCACGGTCTTAATGCACGCGGTGTTATTTGGCCACTGGATTGATTAAATGAACTGAATGTTATGTCAATAATTAGTTGTTTAGATCAGTTGTATATCAGTAAAATTTCAGTTCGATACATTGGATAATTAATGAGATAATACTATTAAAGTCATTAGGAAGTGAATGACCGTGGTAAGCCGACCAAGTTTAGGTGGTTACGAAAAAGCGAAAACGCAGAACATTATGGTACCTTCTAAAATATGTAGGATAGTGTTATAAATTTAGTACAGACATGTACAAAAGTTAAAAAAAAACTACATGATTATTCAAGATTTTTTACTGAAAGGTAAAATAATCATTTCAATTGAACTTTTACTCCCTTACTTATAAAAACTTAGCAACCGATTAAACATCACCCGTCCTTGTCATTTCTATTTCAAAATGCAGTTCAAAAATCATCTAAAAGGTTACAAAAGTAACCTTCTGGCAAGACTGAGTGCGTTATGCAAACAATGTATTACCCCTTCACCCTACTCCTCCTGCGTCCTACCGAACGGCATGCTTTAGCGGTGATTTTTGATAATTTTGTGGAACTGGAAGATAATGTTTTCTTTTATATTATTATTATATAGGTATTTAACAGTGTACGCGTCTGTACCAAAATTGTAAGGTGTATTATACTAAACATTTTAAAAGATAGTACAATGTTCTGCGTTTTCGCTTTTTCGCAACCACCTCAACTTGGTCGGCTTACCACGGTCATTCACTTCCTAATGAATTTAATAGTATTATCTCATTAATTATCCAATGTATTGAGCTGAAATTTTACTGATATACAACTGATCTAAACAACTAATTATTGACATAACATTCAGTTCATTTAATCAATCCAGTGGCCAAATAACACCGCTTGCATTAAGACCGTGCTCGTGAAGAACTGAATATCATCATAACTTGTTAAATACTTACGGCATACTAATGAAACTTCACATACATTTGAAGGCAGTTACAAGCTTTAAAATTACGTTTAAAGTAAGTCTTTAGACTTCTTATTGAGAGTGCTGGGGCCAATTGAAGTGTTTTTCTATTTAATGAAAAAACCTTTAAAATATGCATTATTTTGGTTTTGTTATTGCACAACAAATTTAAACTAAGTCCTCGGAAGTCGTGTACAAAATATGATAAGAATCCGCTTAACCATTTCAAAGATCTAGCAAAACCAAAAACGTTACCGCAGCAAAATCTCGAATAACTTCGCAACCGAAGAAAGAACAAATACAAAATAAGGCACAACATTTACTTTATCTAGACAACTAATTTTATAGCTCATATTTATTTAAATATTCCCATTAAAAAGAAAAAGGTCTGGCTGTGGTAACGTTACGCCAGCAGGAAATGTTTTTGTGAAATAATTAAAAAACTATAAACGCAACAAATTTAAAAATGTGCGCAACAATTACAGAAGCCGCACAACTAATTATCTATAAGATTCAAATGACCGTTGTCGACAACATCTGGCCTGGGTAACGGACACGAATAGTGTATAATATGGTAAAATAGATAGGTAACGTAGGTACTTAGATATTGAAACAAACAACTAGCTACCGAAAATACATATTACTTGATAACACTCCAGTTTTTGTCATTATAAATTAAGACCGGCCGTGGAAGTGGAAAGTGCTACAGCGGAGTTATGAGCCATAATACCAGTCGAATACTGATATTCGGAAAATATTTGTATTATAGCTGGGTACACTAGTTGTCAGTGTAACGATAGCAGAAAGATCTTTCCGAGCTCGCGACATGTTGCACAGCGGCCAGTTGTCCAGCCAGTATGTACATTCCATAAAATACCAATTTCTTACTTGTACCTATTGTCACAAAATTTAAGTTTTAAATTTTTGACATGATCCCGACTACGTGACCCTCTCCTGGCGTCAAAGTTGGATCTGCCCTTGCAGGTACTGAAAGATGTCAGTACTAAGTAAAAACCCTACCCATGTCTTATTAGGTCATTTTGCTATGAGATAAATATTGCAAGTTTCGATATGCAATCCAGCCAGGCACACAGGAGCACTAATTTAACTGGACATATTCATAATTTGAAAAAGGACAAACAAATTAAACACTATATTATATTTTTGTTTTTATTTATACATTACACTTCTCACTTCGCTCTCTTGGATTTGATCTTTCTTAAGTAGAACTCAAGCTCCTTGCCTTCTAGAATGTAGCCATCAGCGCGACCGCACTGGCCAGGCCGACTCGCAACACACGCTGTAAAACAAACAATCATAATATTAACACAAGTTTAGTTTGAAATCAATGATTCTTAGATAACTAAAGGCTCTCAGAGTAACTATGACAGAACAGATCATGCAACTGCTAGACTGTTCCCAAAACGGTACCAGTCCGTGTTGCAGCCTCAAAACTTCTCGATAACATCACTGGGGTCAACTGACAATCATCAAAAATAAGATTATTAAGTCAAAGATCTCACCCAACAAGCGTCCAGTATGGAACTGCTCCTCCAATGCACTTTCAACTTTTGAGAGGCGCTGTCTTGCCAAATACTTCTTGGCGGTCTTCTGGCTGCGTTTCTTGTTGATGATTGCATCTTCTGCCTCAGTCTGAAAAATGAAAAACATAAGTATTTAATACAGAAAATTAGTGTTGGTAGATATTGTTACAGTCCCCTTCTCAGTTAGTGCAACAATCACTGTTCATTCATCTGACACGCAAACTATCATCATTTGAGTAGATAGTATACCTAAAAGAAAATTAGCTGTTTATGATAATTAAAAAAAAAAACAGACAATATAGCCTGCCAGTTAGGTTTCCTGTTTATTTATCAAAAAATCATTCAAATCCATTATATTTTCATGAAACTAGTAGTTTTTGGCTTAACTATGAATGAACACACAAAAGAAAAATCATGTATCATTATTTTTATATTTGACATGACAACTAGTATCTTAATTTAAAAATACTAAATAAGAGAGGAATATGTAATAGTTGTGAAACAGCTGTTCAGGAAATCAGATGTAGTGTACTAGTTTTTCAAATGTTATCATAAAATAAGCTAACATAACATTTATGCAATAACAGCAATATTCTTTAATTGATGTAAATAACTGGCTCACCAATATTTACTTTGATTAAATAACACAATGGTAAAGGTAAATCAACCTATCTTGTTCAAAAATAGATCAGTAAAAGGACAGCTATAGAAAACAAAGTAATCTTATTCATTCAAACTGTAGTTTACTGTTGTGCTAATCCAATAATTTTAAATAATAAGATAAGTACTTATTTGCTGTATTTTAGACTAATATTTTTCTATCAAAAAAGAACAAGAATCAAACCATACCAGTTTTGCACCCTTCTTCCTTCCAAGTGGGAGCAGATAATGGGACTCATACCACTGTCTGAAGGGCGTAGCATCCACTACAACAATGGCATTCTTCACCAAAGTCTTGGTACGCACCAACTCATTGTTGGAAGCATTGTATACCACATCAATGATACGGGATTTGCGGGTGGAGCCTGAAACATTAAGTAAATTGATTAATAAGCTGAATGGTGTTTAATTTGTAATTTAACTACTAATGATACTGTGTAACTACTCACATTCTGATCCCCATGAGAAATTGCCAGTATCTAAACGCAAAGCACGATACTTCGTGTTACCACCGCGGGAGCGCACCAAGTGAATGCGCTGGGGGCCAAGCTGCAAAACAACCAGAATTTATTAATCAATAACTAAAAGTAACCTCGAAATACATATAACGCATCGTGGATCATGGCAAATAAAGACAATAACAACTACCTCAAAATATTTAAAAAACTTTACACATGGTTGATACAAATAATATGTCAAAATAGGTTATGTTTCAGAACTAACCTTGGTGTTGGCAGCCGGGCGACCTAACTCATACTTCCTCTTCTTACGGATGGGCGCACGTTTGCCGCCCGTAGCTCTCCGTTTATGCCAATGATCACGACTGATACCTAGATCACATTAACATTCATCATCAAATCTGCCCAACACTTCACCGACATTCATAACACAGAATTTAGATATTTCACAAAGTTTTACAGAAAATATGCATAGAAACATAGCCCATAAATAATATACAGTAAAATGTTCACAACGATTAATACTAAACATGATAACTACAGTTAATATTTTTGGATTTAAATAAAAATTCAACCGAACTAAGTTACTCACCCATCTTGGCTGAGTCGCAAAAGAAAAGATTGTTTGACAGACGTAACTTCTACACTTCCCTTCCACTACGGTGTAGTCTATGGTTCGTTGTCTATTTGTGAACAAAAAATGTTCAAACAGGCTTTTTTGTACACTCCGATATTATATTACACAGACGAAAGAGATTATGTTTTCTTCGAAAATTCTTATAATAAATTGTAACGGAGAAATAATCTTTCGAAGACATTAACCGGCTTTAAAGGACCGCGTCCACAAGGCGCCCCTTTGAAATAGTTACAAATTTCACTTACAGCAAAATTTTAGCTTAGATATTAACGAAAAACATTATAACACTATATCTAGAATTTTACTTATATTATTCCGCAAAATTCACCAAACACAGGTCGCAAGCGTTCAGTCACGACAAAAAACAAAAGCAATTCAATGGCATATGATTGTCAGGTTTTTGAATTTGGAGTTTGTTTTAGTTTTTACCTTCTAAATACAGAGGGTCGTAAAAATCATTTGAATAAGAAGGTTTAATTAAATCTCTTCTGATGATTATTGAAACCACAGACTTTTTCGTACCTTCAAGGAACAATTACTAACCTGATGAAGGTTATACCTACCTCGTTCTTTTACTTGATGCCACACATCAAACTCATTATATAAGTTTTGTGATAAAGGCAATTTATCAGCGTAGCTAAACTAATCGATGAGTGATGAGTGAGATGAATCACGTTATTGGAAAAATATCAAATGACTTCTCTCGCCCAGGATAGATGGAGTGAGAGGAAGAGTTAGGTTCTTGGTGATTAAAAATCACCTGACTTCTTCTTCTGCTCTGGGCTGAGGCCACGGTACGTTACTTTATTACGCAGATTACGCTTACCGTGCAAACCTGGCTGGTCAGAGATCAGTCTGGCGATTTCAATTACTTTGAAAGTTTATTAATTTTAGTAGTCTATGGTCCAATTCGTTCCCGTTGACAATCATTGACAAGTTTGAAGTTTAAGTTTGACAACTTAACTACAAGCAAGCGTCTATAACCAAGCGACGCGTGTTAGTAAAAAGAATTTCTCTTGATTGGCTTCACTGAATAAGCCGCTTTTGTTAACGACGGGTGAATAAAATATTAAACTGATTTCTTGCGCTACTAATTTTCAGTAATGTCTTCAGATTTTTATATACGTTACTATGTTGGTCATAAAGGAAAATTTGGTCATGAGTTTTTGGAATTCGAGTTTCGCCCTGATGGCAAACTCCGGTATGCAAATAATTCCAACTACAAAAATGATACAATGATCCGTAAAGAAGCATACGTGCATCCTTGTGTAATGGAAGAGCTTAAAAGGATTATAGTTGACTCGGAAATAATGCATGAAGATGACCGCTTGTGGCCTCAACCAGACAGAGTGGGAAGACAGGTAAACAGCCATTTTTGTTATTAAAGCTAATAATTTAAAATAGCCGTATTTTTATCGGATATAATATAAAAACAAAATTTTTGCAACAAAATAATAAAGTTCTAATAAAATCGTATGGAAAATGCGTGAACATATTGTGATAATTTTAGGTTACATTTTGTGAACAGTTCTTGATCTGACTACAATAAACACTTTGAGCAGGCGTTGTCTTTTTGTAGACGTTACTAAAATATCTATTTTTTTCTAGGAATTGGAGATTGTAATAGGTGAAGAACATATTTCCTTCACAACATCCAAAACTGGATCACTGGTTGATGTAAATCAGTCTCGTGATCCTGAGGGACTCCGTGGTTTCTACTACCTGGTACAAGATCTCAAATGCTTGGTGTTCTCTCTCATCGGTCTTCATTTTAAGATTAAACCAATATAGCTGTATGTCTCTTGTATTTAAGTGAAATAAAGTTGTCAATAACTACAGTTTTTTTAATAACTACTTAGTTAACCAATCCCTAAATCTCCAGCACTGATTGCTTACCATCAGGTGATCTGTTTGATTATTTACAGTCATAAAAGAAATAAATGTTATATACAATAATATACATCAAGACTGCTCAAAAACTACTAATTTTATATGTTATAAAGCTATTTCCATGAAAATGAATGAAGAGTTGCTGGATTAAAGCATATGACCTGGATTTAGTAGTAGTCAAGAAAAGAAAAAATCTGAAATAGGATATTAATTTCTTTTTTAAGTATTTCATTTAATATTATGTACAACTGTAATTTAAATTTAATTGGAGTTATAAACGAATAGGTACAATCTTAATAATCTTCGTTCATAAACGAAACTAATAAAGAATAAATGAATAAGTACTATTTTTTACTGGTAACACAGTACAGTACATAAGCATAATTATTCTTGCCGTCATAAAGTATAATACCGTAAGGGAATATTCGGACAATGATTTTTTTATAATATGTTTAACTTTAGTAACTATAATAACTAGATAGCTCTCCTTTCGGTATAGGGGTAAGAACCACTACAGAATGTTATTTATTACACTACAGTGACACAGAATATTTAAATATTTGAAGAAATTGGTAAACTAGACGTTCGAAGCGGTTTTGTCGCTTTTTTACCAGAGTTAGTATCTCCCTTATACTCCACGGCTATAATGTTTACATTTTTGGCGGTGTTCATACTTGACCATCGATAATTATTTTTCAGATGTTGAAACTATCTGATTGGTAGGAAATGTACATCGTCCAATCAAAGTCGTCGGTGAATATGTAGTAGTTTTATGTGCTTGGCATTGACAACAAAATTGCGTTTCTTTCAAGCGATAAACTTATCGTAATTTCAGCACATCATAATAATATTATATTTAAGTTACTTGCGTTACACACTTTTATTGTTATTAGACATAAATAAATCATAATTTTCGTTTATAATTATTACATAGATTCTTATCAACACAGATATGTACAAATTGCAAATAAAAGCACAAATTGCTTTTTGAGTGCGTAAACATTTAGATACTTGACTACATTACTATAATAAATATTTTCGCGGCAAAAGAGACTTTCACATGCTTTTTTTCTAAAAACAAACAAATTAACCGGTTTTTCCTAGCGTGATAATGCACTTGAAAAGGAACGTTTTTGGCATTATGTATTTATGTTTATAGTATAGGATTTGCGCGTTGCGCGCGCATCGCATCTGCCCGACCGACCGATTATGGCGGACAGGCAGTGAAGAATGTTTGTCGTCTTTTCTAAATCAGAAAGTATCGACAGCAGCCAATGGCATAAACCGGGTTTTTTGTAAAAATTGTACATTGTAAATAGTTCTGTGTACATATAGTAATTATATTTGTGCTCGTTTTGTTTAGAAATTCTGTGAATAGTGTATTATTTTGAGTGTTTATTCAGTTCAGTTCTCGAAGCCGACTAATAGCTAAATCTTAACGTTAGTACATTAGTAAAACTCATCTTACTTCAAATTTCGTTAATATAGTATTTTTGTACCCTAGAAATCATTGATTTCACTTCTTGTCTTTGTTTCGATCCGTCAAGGAGACCGTTGCAGAGGTGCAATATTTTGGTTTCCCTTAGCGGCTGTCACCGTGCTTTGATAAACTACTGTCATTACAAAGACAAAAAGACAGATTTAGTCACCAAATATACACAATAACGAGATCTGGTTACTGTATTTAGCGTATTAGATCATGTAAATCGGTTTAATTACACATCTGGCTGTATTGTTATTGAAAGTAGCGATAATTGTATAAAGTGCAGATAGCGAGACATTTTGTGTTTACGGTTACGAAGAATCGAAGTGTTGTGAAACTGAATGCTCGAACCCCACGGTAGCCCAATGAAGTGGCCGGGAACGGGAGCGGAAGAAGAGGCGGGCGAAGCTAGCTTGCAGAGCACGCGCGCTTCTCAGGCTCGGAGCCAGGACGATGCCACTGTGCATTACGTGTTCCAGCGAGAGCCACAGGAAGGCGAACTGCCCTCACTAGCACCTAAACAACGTTGGGCCGTTGGTGAAGATACTATTGCAGAGGTTTGTTGATCACGCAATGATTAATAATTAATGTATCTCTATGCAATATAACCTACAAATACTGAACAACTGAATTTATGTTTTTGTTATTTAGAATTTTGTTGAGTAGCCAAAATTGTATGTTATTGTTCCATGTAACTAATTTTTTACTTATTTCTATTTCAGAACCAAGATAAATGGAAGAATTCCAATCCTATGACAATGAACAATATGCACCAAGCTCAAGTGCAACTTAAAAATTCACAAACAAATCAACAGCAGTTCATAAACCAGGCTATAGCTTCATCTGGTGGAACATTAGCTATGAATCCATCAGTTATTGGAAGTCACCCAGCTCACTTGACTACTAACATGGTACATACCCAGTTGGCTCCATTGCAAAACCCAACACTTGGAAACAATTTAGCTATTCAGAACAATGCTGTGATGTTGCCACAGTTGCAAGGCATGCAGAATGCTCAACAGATGGGACAGCAAGGATTATATGACATACATCAACACCATGGCAATCCTATGCAAGCTATGAATGGTATTGGTAAAAACAATGAACATCTCATGTATTTGGGTCAGGCTGGCATGTTAGCTCCTGGAACCAATCAGTACCTACAACAAGGACAAAATCAACTTGGTTTGACTCCAGTGGCAGCCATCAGAAATCAGGTAAGAATTTTATTATTATATCAATATGCAAGCATTTTGGCTGGCTTTTCTAAACTGCAATAAGTTGCATGGCAATGTGGAAGTCTCCTTTAGTCCTGATTTGTTTCAATTTACCAAGTTTTTATTTCTATGAATGTCATATTAGTTACTTTGTAACCAGTTACCTGTTCTCACATGATTCAGCCTTAATGTAAATATTAAATTATATAATGTTCAAATGTATTAGTAGGTTTGTAACAAAGTAATGTTATTGTTATAACTTATTATATTGAATATGTCGGTCTGGGTAAAATGAGTGTTAACTTTTAAGAGTCTCTTTAATTGATTTTCAATCGTTATAGAATTAAGAGTACAAATTTAATTTTATTGGTTTAAAATTCAACATAACTTGATATTATTAACAGAACTAATTAACCAGGTAGGTGGCTAAATTCTTTTTGATCATCTTATGCATAGTAGTGGTAGATTTTATTTTTTGTTAAACCATATTAAATTTCTTCCTTTTTTTATATCTCTCTTTGTAATTTTGTATAATAGTTAATGATGTCCATAAATAAAACAAACTATTGAAAATATTTGGGATGATTATACTGTATAGAAGGTTCTAATATCTATATCCCAGTACACATATCAAAGGGTTAAAGCTTAATGTATACTGCATAGTGAGTAGTCAATCATATACTTTTATAATTTAATTTACTAAAAGTACTGCACCTAACATGGTGGTTTTTTTGCAGTAGAGTGATATCAGGCAGGATATATTTAAAGCTTTGCTAAAAAATAAATCTTATATTAAGTTAAACATTCTTTGACTATAATCAAGACTAAATCTAAGATCAGTATTTAAAAATCTATTTATCTATATTAATGTTATAAGGCTTAAGATTTTGATTGTTTGCTTGATCACACTAAACACCAGGGATACTGATTTTTTTGTTTGATTGTATAGGAGCTAGGGAGCATGTCATTTGGTGCGGATGTGACAAGTTTATTATGTGTATGCGCATTATGATGTAAATACACATATGTTATACATTAAAGGCAAACAATTTGATAGCATTTAATTTTATAAGTTCTAAACATAAGTTCAAAAACTATGTTATTTCCAGTGTTTTGACTACTAGACAGTATATTGGATGTAGAACTTAGAGTAAGATGATTTTTCTATTTTCACAACATTGTATTTTTTTTCATTAAGTGGCTCTCTGTATTGTCTCTGCATCCCAGAGACAAAGCCAATATTTATTGCTCACGTAATCCCTACCCCCCTGGTTATTACGATGATGTGTAAATGTTGTCAAAGTTAAATACTCTGTATTATAGTAAGCTGTAGCTTCTGCCAGTAGTTTCACCTTTACCAATGTAAAGAGTACCTTGTATTTATCTATCTCAGTGCCAAATATCAAATTTAAAATTATGTTAGCAATTAACAAATATACTTACATACATCCTCACAAACTTTTAGTTTTACATTTACAGTTTTAGTATTTTGTATATAAAAATAAGTTAATTACTAAGATGTATGTGTCTAGTAAAAGTTTTATACTTAATTATACAATATTTTTTCAGACACTATTTGTAAATATTTAAAAATTACTACTGTAATGGTAAACAAGGCAGGTAGTATGAAATGCACTTAAAAATTATATATAATAACCATACTTGTAACTAATCAATATTTTTAAATCTTTTATTCTGTTTTTAAAGCAAATATATAGCTGTTTTATTTCTGCACAAAATTATGTTGCCGGCATTTTTTTAACAGTCTATTTTTGTTTATATTTGCAAATATTTATATTTTATAGAAGTAAATAGAATAGTTATTTGTAATTAAATTTAAGGAGACCAGAAAAAGTTCCTTGCTTGACCTAATGCATATCCCTGTGCCAATTGTATGTCTACCTATCTAAATAGTGTAGGCTGTACTTCAACATGTGTAAAATTCCTTGATGTCATATGTTTAGGACTTTACATATGGGTTCATAATTTCCTATAGAAGTGACACTCCATTTAGTCATAACATCTGTTGCAAGTGAAATATTTTTCCAAGACAATAAAATAATCTTGCAGGTCTGGCTCAGATCACAGAATCAAATGGTTCATTTATTTGAAATGTATCACATTTCGAAAAAAGGGATAACAATTTTCGTTCAATGTTGTATGTACGTTGCGATACCATTATTTATTTACGCGGAATACCATATTTCTTTTTCTTAATACTAATCTATGAACCGAATATTAAGATATCGTATTAGTTCTACGTATTTTTGTAAATAAAAACTAACTTAAGAACAAACGAAAATAACGACTTATTTAAAACAGGACAAATTTTCATTAGTTTCAATTCAAAACTGAACTCTAATATTAATTAAGCATATTTTCGAAATATTCTTTAAAGTGAGTAAGTAACATAAAATAGTCACTTCCTGCCTTTCTGGAATCTTTTGAAATGTACTTTAGTTTTAATTACCAACGGTTAGATGGTTTCCATGACTTTTGACTTGGATGTTTATGAAAGCATTGGAAGCCCATGTCGCGTTTGTTGATTCGAAAAGGAATGAATAATTTTGGAGATTATTTTACTATATTCTGTATTGGTGTAAAATTTGTCTGTTATGAATGCCTAATATGTAAACAGCACATATCCTCACAATTCTTTACACAGTCCATACATTTTTTAACAACTTTATTATTTACGTAAAAAAATTACTTCCCATTTAAAGTCATGGTGTATACACAACAGTAAGCCTGTAACAGAAAAAGTAAATTTTAATCCATTTAAGACTATTTCATATTTGTATCTGTCGGCAAAGGCCAAATAGACTTTGTTTTGATATTCGACACAATTTGTGAAGCTAAGGCGGAATTCTAACTTAAGTATCTATCCAAATGTGCCTACTGGCAGATTATTAATAACAAACTGTAACTGTGGAAGCAAGTTCATCTATGCTCTTAGGCCGTCTGAAGGCATGCCATACGTCTTAGCCATGTTTTGAATCATAAGTATATCTAAAATTATTTAATAATGTCATCTCACAACCAATTGTAAGACTGTCTCATATTTTTTTATCATACGAAATTAAAATACTTAAACAATAACAATAACAAATAGGAAGCCTCAAAAGTTAAGCTTGGTCATCTCATTCATTCTTATAAGTGCAATAATAAGAATGTAATACCTATGTCTTATTATGAATTTTCTTTTTTTGGTTACATCATTTATCCTCTAACTAAGGAGTAGGTAGAGATGCACATGTGGCCAATATAATTCTATTTAAACAATATCCCATGGTAAAGGGGGTAAGCGTAAGATTATTAATGTAGCGGTCACAATTCCAGTCTCGAATCCCCAAATAATACTTTTCCCGACCTGGGAATTGAACTAATCGACAAACGTGGCGGTACTACCTTTCAATTAAAAGATTCATTTACTTTAAAAGTATAATATAATATACATAGTCCAGAATTCAGATTATGATCATAATATGTAAAGAACGTAACGAAAACCAAAAAGCTAGGCCTTTTTGCCTTTGTGTTCCATCTCCAGGACACGGTATAGTTTTCGCCGGCAGTATGCCTTGTTTGGGCTGAACACTGCCGTGTGCTCAGGAAAGCCACCGACACGACGGCGGCGCCCTCATACGCCCAGCTTTGATTCAGGCCGCGGTACAGAGCGAGAGAAACTAGGAAGCCATCTCCTCTTTTTGCGTAGTGGTCATGCTGTCAAAGAAAGAGGAAGGAACTTAGCTCTTAAATTTTCCGTGGTCTGGGACTCTGACTCACCCCTGACATTCTAGCCTCCGAGATGTCAATGCAATGATCGCATCCACACCACGGCACAGCTACATCAAAATTCTACACAACATCACATAACACGTTAACATTGTTTCGTCGAGTCAGTGAGGGACCGTAGGCCCAAATTTACACTCCCATCCCCAAAAGGTCGGCAATACGCATGCCAGTTCTTCGATGATGCGGGTGACATGTAAGGCTATCGCTCATTTTCATAAAAAAATAACAAAAAACACAGGTGAGCCTATCCGTTATAGTGTAGTATGTGAATTTATAGAAAACCAAATAAACTCGTAGTTATGCCGACTGAGAAACAAACCCTTGCTCTTAGTTACAGAGATGCCGCACATGTCTATTAAGTACTAATAGTGTGGTATATAACACTAATAAACCGGGATGACGAACAGTGTCTAACAACTAAAATAAATAATATTCTCCATGAATGAATGAATGTAAAAATACGGTTTTAATCTCACTATTTTGAATTGTAATCGGGTATTAATTTCGGGCGTTATTCAGCTCGTATACACCGAGCCCGGAAAAGCTTTTCGACTCGATGCCGCAGTAATTGGCCATCTTTTGCTATCTGGATATATTTTCTGATATTAGTGTTACTTTAGTTTTGTTGATGTTGGTGTGTAGCGTGTGGGCAACGAATCTTTCAAACAAACCCAACTTCTGGAATGGTAACTGTTAAAATAGTTGCGTTTTCTTGCTACGGGTGCGTCCACCAAAGTTTGCTTTTCCAAGTTATCTAATAATATTCCTTCAAGTGAAACTTTTACATTCATAATTGCATTTGAATTGGAAACATAATTTATTTATGAAAATATGACTTTTTATACTCAACGTATTTATATTAATTACATCGATATGTAATCCGTTTAATTAGGTGTGTTGTAATAAAAAGTTTGCCAGGATCTTTGTTTTCGCACGTTAAGGAACTCTGCTATCAATGTCGATAAGGTAATATTAATTCTATGTAACAACAAATAAAAGGTTTCTTCTATCATAAGATTACATTCGTATATGTAGGTGTAAAAAAATTTAGGCTACGACTAGGTATATTTTTAATGGTTCTTTAGTAAAAAAGCTTTAGGATTCTGTATTTTTAGTGGTACTAGGTACTGTATTATCGTATCGCACTTTAACCATAACCATAGACAAAAACAGCTGCAAAAACCGCGCCTCCAGATTTTGTAAGTTCTATGGTTGCACAGTTGTTTACACGCCATCTATCAGCAGCGAACAGTAAACTTCGCGTCGTACGACGCTCCCCCGTATGGGGAATTTTGACGCAGGCGCTGTGGTCGGCGTACGTCCTTTGTTCGAAACAAGTCAACATTGTATTATTTGAGTTTGGATCTTTCTAGTTTTATTTCGCTGCTTATAGACATTTTAGTGTAAGAAATGTGCTTTTTAATTGTTGTGGTTAGTGTATATGTTATATAGAACTAGTGTTTCACGTAAAAAGTGGTATTTTCTCACAATAAGCTTTCGTTGTAGTACATGACTGAGCTTTAGGCGGATTGTACGCATGAAACCCTTGAGCGACTTTTTTTTCGAAACTGATGTTAAGGATATGGGCCCCGACATGGTAAGTTTTATGGTATTATTTGGTAGATTAGACAAGTTGGATGCTGTTTTAAGTCATGAAGTCACGGAATTTCTGGTTTTTTCGCGCAACAGGTCCGTTTTTGTTTTGTTTACTTGTCACCGGCGTCCGCCATTTCTGATTCAGAATTTGTTCACCGGTTTAGATGAATAGGATTTTTACTATGTAGCGTGCCGACTCTTGACTTCTTTGGAATTTGCGATGATGTTATGTACCAATACTAAGTTTGAAGTCAATAATTTAGTAAAAAAGCATGCTTTGTTTCATGAGATAGAAATGTTATTGTCGCCATTAGGGCAGGCAGCAGTGTGACCAAATAATTACCTCTAAAAGCTCATTCACTCACTGTTCTGTTACGTACCAACTTATTATGAGTACGAAATACATAACTTAGTAATTACATATCTAATTGTTAAGCTTCCTGAGCGTTCAGTTTATTGATTGAGTAAATATTTACAATAGTTATCAGTGGAAATTGGTATTAGTGTAAAAGGTTCTTGTAGTGTGTAAAATATAATAACTTGAAAGAAACGAAAGTTCAGTTCACTAACATGTATTAGGGATGTTGTTAAATGTGACAGATAAAAAAAAATTATAGGTGTCTTAACTAAAGCTTTACTTGTATTTTTCAGTATCTAGTTATTTAGCTGATGGATTTAAAGAAATTTGTCAAAATCAAATAAAGAAATTGAAGTTACTTATTGGAATTAGTAAATTAAATCTTACCACTAAGCAGTACAGCTGATTACCTTTATAAATATATCATGAGTATACAGGAGGATAATCCGAAGAGGCAAAGTGTGCTAAGTTCTACAGTATGTCATTTAGAAATTTACACTATTTGATTTAAATTTAAAAATATATATAATATCTGACCTGATACACTATTGCTTTTATCCTAAAAAGTGGTTTTCTCTTCAAAATCTGAAATATTTTGTATTTTTTCATCTATTGTCTTGTATTTGCATGACTGCGGCATGTTGTGGATAACATTGATGTAGTAAGTCAGATAATCAAATTACATTAATGATAATGCAAGCATGAAAGTGTAGAGTAGGCTATAGGGTATTGTTAGCTTCAGTTGGTAAAAGTTATTAAATAGAACATAAACTATGTTACATTGTGAGCTATTGATTTAGGAGTATAACTCATAATTGTTATATATTACAGTAATATAGTAAAAAGTTAATACCTTATAAGACAATACTTCATGGTTATCATTTACTGTGTTTTTAGAAGTGTGTAATATGAAACAACAACAGCACTGGAAATTTATATCAAGTTTGTGCCTACTTACAGTTGTGATCAAGTTACACTTGATAACATTGTAACAGCACATCATTTCTAACTCTTTTCCTGACTTAACATATCTTGAATCACAATACATGATTAAAATAAGTAGATAGAAGTTACTGAGAAACTCTTAAGGTGGAATTGAGATTTAAATTTATTTGTAGATCGAGAACTGAATAATCTGACAATGTGTACTAAAGACTCAAAGTGTTATTAAAATGATTCATAGAATGTGAGAGAATGTCTGTGCGACTGCAAGGGTTGTAGCAAGCAGGATGGAGTTTTTTCAATCATAGCACATATATGGTAAATTAATTGTGTAGACTCTTCTCTTTTCACATCAGTCTTCTCATGGGACATAAAATTAGTCTTGTCAACTTCTAGCACTTCCTTCATGGTATAACAGGACATTGATGTGATTTAAAATTTTATAAGTTAATACAATGAAATATCTTAGTATTCTTTAATTAGTATTTACTTTAGTTCAATGACTATATAATAATCAGTTAGATTGTAGGTGTTCCATTTTTTGTGTATTTTAATTCTCAAAGAAATGCATAAGTATTGCAATTCAATTAAAACAGGTCAATAATACTACAAGGGAGAACTAGTAGCATATTTAAGAAAATAAGAGCAACTGCTGGCCCTGTAGCAATAAGCCTGCATGTTTATTTGTACTAGAATGGATGTAATTTGTTGATGTATGATGGATGGATTCTTCCTAACTAGTAATTTTCTATAATTTATTACATTTAAGCATGCCTATGTGTATGTTATATTAATATTCAAGATAATTTACTTGTTATTATAAGCTCCAATTTGGTGCAATAAAGAATTACAATTAGGATCATAGTTAATAAATGAATCATATCATTCATTTATTAAGAAAATGACCATTACATTATGTGTATGCTTAAATTTGTTAAAATGTATAAGTTGTAAGTTTGTAAGTTTATCTTTTTAGCTCCGAAACCAATGTTATTCATGTTATAAATTTTAATATAAAGATCACTTATGATATTAACTTAAAAAATCATAATTGAGGCTGAAAAGTTTTATTATTTTCTAAAAAGTTTTCTTTCTTAAACTTTAATTTTTCATCATATTTGTACCTTGTAAACAAAAAGTTATTTGTGTTGTTGCTCATCAATATTTTGAAATGTTTATTTTTGTTAGATTGCACCTGCTGCAAAAAAACTATGGGACAAAGGCCCTGGTGCTGGCGGCGACAGCAAGGGCCCTCCTCACCTGCCGCCCCTACAGTTGAACCCAGAGCAGATGTGGCGTGATCCGACCTGGTCCGCGCAAGGTTCGTTACACTTTGACACTTATCACACTACGCAATGTTGGGATTCTGCTAATTTTGAACTTGCCATTTCAATTCTTCAACTGTCTAAAAAGTATTGAATTTGGCTAATTTGTACAAAATCAAATGATGTAAAAAAGTTGAACAATTTTAAAATTATTTTAGCAGTAGAACACAATGTGGGTGTCCCAATGATGGGCACGCGGCGCGGTGTCGCCTTCCCCGGCGGGGATGCTGGCAGCATTCTGTCACCGCGAGATACGGCTGGACTGGGCGTCAAAATGGTCGAATATGTACTCGGAGGATCTCCTACAGGTATGGTCCTCGCCATTGTAATAAATACAATAATATTGTTTGTCAATAATTTACTTACAACATTAAAATAACTGAGCTTATGTTAAAACACAACTTGGTTTACCTTGTTTCAAAAAAAAATTAGATTAACACATTAAGCATTTTGTTATACAAACTAACAATTTCTTGGTAACTTTGTGTGTGTATGTATATATTCAAATATATCCATCAGATCTCATCAAATTTAATAATACATCAAATTAGATTAGTTCTATTGGTGTTTTATTGTAACAAAAAATAAAACTAATGTGCATAAAATTTGTGTTACAATTGACGATTTCAAGACGATTTGTTTTAAATTAAAATCTATTGTATACAACTTTGTTGCAGTTTCATCAAGAATTAATTATTCACATCTCGTAGAAGCAGGTGGCGTAGCTACTGGTGGAGGTGAAAAGGTACCTGGTGTTGTCTCTGGATTACGTGGCATGGTACTAGAGGAGCGTCCTGAAGATAAATCCGCCTCCCCCTTCGAAAAGGACTTGCATGAACTGCATGAACATGGATCTTTACCTAATGGATTACATAATGGACAAGAAGATGACAAAGCTTTTAAGTAAGTGTTTTAAAGTATTCTTTGCTTATGCTTATGCATTATATTACTCTTTGCAGATCTACGCGAAAGACAATTTGTGTCTCGCGTAGATCTGCGCTATATCACGGGATAAGAGCAAAAATTTCTTTAGATTAAATTAAAAATTTGAATAAATAGGATTTACATTTTTAACTGTAGGGCATTCATTTTACTAATATGTTCTTTAAACAAGTTACTTCTGAAAAATTAACTTTACGAGGACTTACTTTACATAACTTGAATTCGCATTAAATAACAAATATAAATGAGTGTTACAGAAAACTGACATATAGGTGATATAAGAATATGAAATCTAATTCACAAATGATTACGGAGTCAAATATATGTAAGAAAGTCGCGAAGGCCACCGAGTGGCGAGTGCGAAACCATGCGGCATAGTGACGGAGGTAGAGAAGGACCGGGCGTGCGTGCGGCGGCGGGTCTGGCGGGCAATAACCGCGCGCGTGGATCATGGCCTCTGTCAATGCCACTCGTCGCCGCGCGCCGCAACCTGCGCGCGCGCTGCGCCGCTAGGGACACTCCAAATGTTTTATCACTCGACTGCTATGATTCACGCCGTAAACAAATTTCATTTGATTAGACTGCGCTGTCTACATCAGTAGGTACATTTACGTAGTATTTTCTCAACTAAACTTGCTGTCTAAATTCGATTCTGAATTTCAATTCAATTATGGTCATTGATAGTTTATGATATGTGAAGTCGTCAAAACTATTTTGAGTTTATCATTTCACTTGTTTTTTTTACTGATGTTGACGTTCAAAAGTGCCTGTATGGGTCTAATTGAAATAAATAATTTTGACTTTGACTTTTGACTTTGACTTTGATGCAATAAAATTACTAAAATAGTCAGTCATTAATAACTAGGTGGTTCTTGCTCTTCTTATTAAGTTTAAACCGTCTGCTGTGTCACAGGTTCGATTCCGCATGGAATTAACTATTAAGTCTGGGTGGCTTGTGTATATAGATTTACAAGTGAACCTAAAGTGGATGTTTATGGATATAACTTATTTCCATCGCATACACAGGCACTATTAAGTAAATAAGACAGTTTAGTAAGTATTGAGTGGTGTCCTGCAGCCGTACCCCGGGGTCGCGCCAGCCGTCGCCGGCGGAGGAGGAGGCGGGCGGCGGCGCGGGCCCCCGCAACGGGGAGGCGCCCGCCTTCCCGCTGCTGCCGCCCCACGCCATGCCGCAGCCCCAGCCCCAGCAGCTGCACCATCTGCCGCATCTATCGCATCCACAGGTACTTACAATAACATACCACATATAATTACAATAAACGAAATAACAAACAGTCTTATGAAGAGATGGACACAATCTAGAATGTTTTATTTATCGTGTTTTGACTTTTTCTGTCTGGTAACTTCACTGTCTGAAGCTGATTTGTTCTAATAAGACTATTTCGATACACATCAATACGAGCCAAACAAGCAACTTCTCCTTATTTTAGGGATAGAATATAAAAGTTTTAAAAATACAATCACCATGAGCAAGACTTAGGTGGTAGAAATATTAATTAAAGGACAAGCCAATATTGACTGATTTTTATGCCTGTTACAGCACCACCCGGGTATGTTAGGAGTGGCACCTCTCCAAGGACTACCACATCCACAGCACCCACAAATCCATCCTGGTTAGTATGATTTTAACAAAAAAAGTAATTCAATTAGTTCTTGTAATGACCACTGTAATAAACCTCACTGAATGTATTTCAGGTATGACATTGAACGACTCTATGAATCAACACATTGAACTCGTTTTACAAATGGAACAGCATCCACAATTTGACAACAACAGCTTTGCAAGTACACAGCAGGTTAGTTGTTATATTTTTTGTTGAAAATTTAGTTTATTTAAAATTGTCAGTAATCAAAATTTTCTTAAAGAGTGGTACTGCCACTAAGTGAACATTTAAGATTATTGCTCACATGCATATATTATTAGTCCCCTGTCTACTACAGGGGGGTTATGATTCTGTACTATGTTCCCATTTCCAGTCTTAAGTTCCCATCTCCAGTTTACGCTACAGGAATTTCTGCAATAATCTATTGAAAAAATTAAAAACCCAATACGACAAACTTGAAATACAAAAAGCCGGTAAGAACAGTAAGCTCATTTGGAAAGTTGTTAAAAACAATACTTTTACATCAAAAAAATCAGACTCTGCTCTAGAACTTTTAGCAACGGATACAACCCCAATTCTAGCGGCAAATAAAGTAAACAAATACTTTGTTAACATGGGTAAAAATCTAGCTGAAAAAGCTTTATCCAGAAATTCCTTTCCGCAAAGTACAACTATGTCACTCAATACCTTAGGTTCGTTTGTGTTACTCGACACCGACGTCAAAGAAATAGTTAGTATTATAGATGGATTAAAGGACTCTTGTGCTGTTGGGTGGGATAACATCCCTAATAACGTACTTAAAAGATTCAAGCACATAATTGCACCTCACTAACATATATATTTAACTTATGCTTAACGAACGGTATATTTCCGATCTGCTTAAAAAGGCTTTAGTTACTCCCGTTTTTAAAGCCGGTGACAAAACTAATATTACCAATTATAGACCGATTGCAGTACTATCAGGCCTTTCTAAGATTTTGGAGAAAATTATTAACGTTAGACTAACTAAATATCTTGAGAACAAAAATTTGCTCTCCGATCGTCAATTTGGATTTAGATCTAAAAGATCAACTAACCAAGCGGTTCATCAACTCACTAATTATATATGTACAAGTCTGGATAAAAGTTTGTACACAATTGGGATCTTCTTAGACCTTGCGAAGGCATTTGACACCATTTCTTGCTCCCTGTTATTCCATAAACTTGAAAAAATTGGTATAAGAGGAGTACAGTTAAAATTATTCACGGACTATCTTAAAAATCGTCGGCAGTGTATAAAATTGGTCAATATAGAAGTTCGGAACTAAAAAACAGTAGTTACGGAATTCCTCAGGGTAGTATATTGGGTCCTACTTTATTCCTAATATATATCAATGACCTATGCAGCTTGACCCTCCAAAATGGTGTTATTATGTCATATGCTGATGACACAGCTCTTGTGTTCACAGGTTAAATCAAAAGATGAGGTCTATGAATTTGCCCAAAATGGTTTTAATGTAGTGTCTAATTGGCTTCGTAATAATCTCTTAACATTGAATTCAGATAAAACAAATTACATGTTATTTCAATGAGAAATGCCCACATATCCACTACTAACCTAACATTTATGCACATAATTGTCATACGAGTACGACCCGCTGACACAGCATGCGCTTGCCCTACATTAGTAAAGACTGAATATATAAAATATCTAGGTGTTACTATTGATGCGAATCTCAATTCCGAAAACATATAGATTTATTATGCCTAGAGTACGAAAATTAACTCTATGTCTTTAAATACTTGCGCAACATTGCAGACTTTACCTGATACGCCAGGTGTATATGGCTTTGTGTCAATCCATTCTTACTTACTGTATTAAACTCATGGGTGGTGCTCCAAAAACTATTCTCTTGCCCCTAGAAACGTGCTCAAAGAGCAATCCTGAAGGTCGCCACCTTTCGTCCTTTCAGATTTCCTACTCACCAGCTATTCAGGGAATGCAAAGTACTGACAGTACGCCAGTTATTCATCCTTAAACATAGTGCTACTGCAGCATACTGAAATTGGTTTAGCCCGGTACTTTCCGGCAAAAGAAAGGATTTAGTTTGCACTAACCCTCAGACGAAACATGCTTTTACTAACATATTTTATTTATTTCTAGACCTTATTTATATAACAAAACTCAATAGGCTGCTAAAAATTTATGTGTAAGTTTAATAAGTGTAAACTAATGCTAACAGAATATTTACAGTCCCTCAATTACTCAGATACGGAAAAAATTGCTAGAAGTATTAAAATAAGTACTTATTTTTAGTAAATTACTTACATATTAACTAGTATGATGTTGTTTTTGTTTAATAATTTAGGCCGGGTTGTCCTTGCTTAGTCTTACATTATGAAATACGATAATTATTTATAATATATCCATTGAATTATTTTTGCATTGATAGCCCTGAAACACAGGTTTAAAATAAAACCTAGTTCGGGTAGTCCCTAATATTTAGACCTAGAACGTTATTTCCTCACATATGTATTGTATTAGACTAGATTAAGTTAACTATTACGATTTTTATTATTAAGACTTTTTATTACTATAAAATCTGAGCCATCTGTAATTGTAAACGTGTTCAATGTTTTAATAAAAATTTTATTTTTTTTTTATTTTTTTATTTTTTTTTAAGTTCTGTTAATTCAAGATAATTAAGCCATTTCACTTAAAAATAACACATCACAAAGAGCTATTTCATATATAAAAAAAAAATGTATTTTCTTTTTGTCTTGCTGGAATTGCCCATTACCCTGTGGTTAACAAATTACATCATAACACCATCTTCAATACGATAAAAATTAGTAAAGATAAGAGTAGTGATTTTCTATCTAAAAAAATTGAGTAACCATGACTTAAGACAGGTGTACTAAATATCTACAGGTGAAGTTGCACTTTAGGTACTTGTTGGCAATTTTACAATATTTTAATTTGATGAAATGATGACAATTTAAAATACATTAAAATTTTGTTTGTATTGTTATACACTAGCATCTATATTTTTTTTATCACATCTCATTTATTACCTAGTTCCCCTCTGCTTCTCTAAAAAATATTTGTTAATAACGATGAAGCAATCAGTTCAGCTGTTGTCAAGATTTGCACTCACAACACAATTAGGGAGTAATATTTATAAAACAATCCCAAACATATCACGGCTTTGTTTGATATATGTGCAGCAATAACGTCAAGATTTGCATCTAATACCTAGTTCATCATATCTGCTCCATGTTCCAAAATACCTATTATTTGTGTTACGACTACCCTTTGCCTACTTATGTTATTTATTTAGCATTGTTAAAGAATTGTTAGATAATTGACTGGAATTAACAATATTTTTGTTTGAAGTCAGCCTACTATTGTAAAATAAAATCACTTTTATACTATTGTATAGAAATAGCTGATATTTGTGAGGTATACATCTACTTATATTACTTTTTACTCGTATAACTCAACTGATACAGGTACATGTTCTTATTGTCTACCCTTCCTAGGATTAAAAGATGTGACATAATAAAGATGTATCGTGGCATCTACTTGTAAAATAAGTTAAATCATAACTATCAGAACCAATTATATCGGCGTTATCAATGTAGTATGGCGGTGGAGTTGGTGGAGTGGGTGGAGTCGGTGGCGTGGGCGGTGCAAGCGGCGCCGTGGGAGGCGTGGGCGGAGTGGCTGGCGTGGGCGGCGTCGCGGGACAGGGCGCCGGCCTTGTCAACGGCGCCTCTGTTGTACAGCAAGCGCCCGATTCCACGCAACACCACCAGCCGTTTGACGTACAGGTAAGTGTCTCAATGTACTCATATTCTGTTGTTACTTCTCTGATCTAATTATCGGTACAACAGGAATAAGCAAGCATAGTCGGCCATGTTTCATACTAGTAGAATATCTGTTTTTTAAAGTTTAAGAAATATTTTTTGATAAGGTCTTTGTAGCCGGAGCAACCCATCCAAAAATCTTTCGACTCTCGCTCTTTGTTGTGGATAAATAACCATGGAACCCAATCTTTATTTTCTGCGTTAAAGTTCTATGGACATTCAAAATCTTTAAAATGTAATAACGTTATTTAATGTGATTAACTATGTTAAAGCAACATTTACGTCACAAACTGCTATATAATTTAGCGCCTGTTTCACCGCATGCCGCATAAGTTCCCCAAGAAGATATGTGGTAATATATAAAAATTACATTCTATGTTCAAATTCATCTGTTACATGGTGTCTTACCATTGTAAAACTGGTCCTTAGTACCGAGATTTCAACAAGTAATAATTTCAAATTCAGTATGATTAAACCCTTGTAGTTAGTAAAATATGACGATCACGACAAAAAAAACAATACTTATTAAATACTTACGTGTTTTATATTATGTATACGACAAGCCTGTCTTACTTAACGATCCGCTGCAATATATATACTAGCGGTCCTCCCCCGCTTCGCACGGGTCCAACTATCTCGCTATCAAAGGAGAAGATTTTCCTAATCTTTCCATCTACTTCCCTAATATTTTCTTTGATAAGAGCCTTCTTCTGACAATAACAAACACAACAAAAAAAGAATTAGCAAAATTGGTCCAGGAGTTGTTGAGTTATGCGCTTACAACACATTTTGCGATCCATTTTTATATATAAGACTAGCGGCCCGCCCCCGCTTCGCACGGGTCCAATTATCTCGCTATCGGGTCACTTTTCGATGAAGTACCTGGGTCTCGTCCTCGACAGCCGATGGAACTTCACGGAGCATTTTCGTCGTTTGGCCCCTAAGTTGGAACGGTCTGGGGCCGCGCTCAAGCGGCTCCTTCCCAACCTCGGGGGGCCAAACGCCTCCTGCCGGAGGTTGTATATGGGGATTGTGCGATCCATGGCCCTCTACGGTGCCCCTGTGTGGGCGCCGGACTTGAAGCGGCGGCCGGCTCGTACGCTGGTCGCGTCCCAGAGGGTCATGGCTATACGAGTAATCCGCGGGTATCGCACGATCTCCGGGGAGGCGGCGAACCTCCTTGCCGGATCACCGCCGTGGGATCTAGAAGCGAAGGCGCTCGCGCGCGTCTACAGTTTGCGCGCAGACGCGCGTCGCCGGGGCGAAGATCCTCTGCCGCGCCAAATAAGTGCGTGGCGGAATGAGCTCCGGCGAGATCTCATGGCAGAGTGGAGACAACGACTGTCGCAACCGAGGGCCGGGCACGCTACCATAGCAGCGGTAAGACCCCTCTTTGAGGAGTGGCTTGAGAGACGCCACGGCGTCCTCACCTTCCGTCTGACGCAGGTGCTTACCGGGCACGGCAGCTTCGGTAGGTTCCTGTTTCGGATTCAGCGGGAGGAAACGCCCGAGTGTCGTCATTGTGAGGACCACCTAGAGGATACGGTGGAGCATACGGTAGCGGTATGCCCTGCCTGGGCTGAGCACCGCCGTATCCTCAGGGAAGTGATCGGCGGCGGCGACCTCTCGCGCCCGGCCTTAGTCGAGGCCATGGTGCGGAGTGAGAGGAACTGGGACGCCGTCTCCTCCTTTTGTGAAGCAGTCATGCTCGCAAAGAGAGAGGCGGCCCGCGTGAGGGAGCAATCCTCCTCCTCACGCCCCAGCAGCCGCAACTGGCGACACTACGGGCGTCGGGGATCGAGGGACGATCTCCGGCCACCGTAAGTACGGGCCTGCGGTCGGCGAGTAAGGGCAGCTCGCCGCCCGACCAGAACCAGGCCCGAGCGTACGGCGCGTAGCGTTCCGCGCGCGCCTCAAAGAGCCAATAGACCACCACAGACGGGGCCCTAAAGGGCTGATGTTCAGCCGGGGTTGCGGGGTAAGCGCAATAAGGTACCGCGACCTCGGCACAGAGCAGGAGAAGGAACAGGGGGGTTTTTAGTCAGTAAGAGTCTGACACTCCCTCCTGCCCGGCCCTGGGCGGGAGAAGTCATTTGATGATTTTCCCCTCACAAAAAAAAAAAAAAAAAAAAAATCGGGTCACTTTTTCCTAATCTTCCCCTCTACTTTTCTAATATTTTCTTTGATAAGAACCTTCTCCTGACAATAACAAACACAACAAAAAAAGAATTAGTAAAATAGGTCCAGGCGTTGTTGAGTTATGCGCTTACCAACACATTTTGCGATCCATTTTTATATATAAGAAGACTAGCGGCCCACCCCCGCTTCGCACAGGTCCAGGTCGCAAAGGGCCCCTTTTCCCCAATATTCCCCTCTACTTTTCTAATATTTTCTTTCATAAAAACCTTCTCCCCGACAATAATAAATACAAAACAAAAGGTTTTAGCAAAATTGGTGCAGGCGTTTTTAAGTTATGCGCTTACCAACACATTTTGCGATTCATTTTTATATTATAGAAGATTTGTAACCACATCTACCTGTTAAATATAATAACATCGAAACAATGTATAGAGTTATATAATTCTACGAATACATTTATCAAGGCGTACATATTACATATTATTATAATGCCATCAATACGTGATGAAAACAATCTGCAACTATTTCTTCAAAGGCATTTAGACTGCCTCTCAGGTATTGCATTGTTTTCCCACGAAGAAGTTATACAAGTCCTGGCAAAATTAGGAGGCGTAGTCTGTAGGCGCAAGGTCTGGTGAGTACAGCAGATGATGGAGAACTTCTAACCCCAGTTCTTGTAGTTTGGAGACCATCTGCTGTGCAGAATGAGGGTTGCGTGTTGTGCAGGAGTAGTGTAGCCGAAGGTTCACACTCTTTCGTTCATAGACTTGCGAGTTTCACCATCATCTGCAATAATGCTCATCCCGTTTTTGGAGACGCTGTGATGAATTACACCCCTACTAGACCTCCAAAAAGTGACAATCACTTCTAGGGGTAAGTTTTAGTTCAGAGCATTGTGTATTTTGAGCCAGGGTTTAACCAACTTGCTTGTAGCAATGCGTTTCAGAATTCCTTCATTTGCATACCTGTTGTTGTTGTTATTGAGCAGTGCAAGGCACGTCTCGACGCGTACTACGCGCTGGCTATCATCAAGTTTGTGAGGTGCTTAATTGTCAAGCTTTCAAATCAATCCAAAGATTTCTGGTGTAATCAGTCAATAAGCATGGGTAAACATTCTTTGTTTTTCAATTTAGGAGCAAGAACGTTCAAAAGTTTATTTCTTCAATATCGTTAAGTATTGATAAGACTACTGAAAAACAAACATGCAACAGAAACAAACACGCAACACCATCCGTTTTCACAGGATAAGCATAATATTATGCAAAACTTTTTGCTTTCCCTTTGGAAGGATATCCCAGAACCATGATAAATAATCTCAGAAAAAAGAAAAAATATTTTATTCTCAGTTTATCAAAATTATTATTTTTTTACTTTGGATAAATAAAAGTTGTCTTTTGATTTCAAAAGGGACTCTCAGGGCTCTCCCTACCCTTCTTTGCACCCTACCCAAAGTTTCCCTTTTTTATAGAATTAGTAATCTAAATTACTAATTCGTAATCTATATTTCCGGCAATGCGCCTGTGACTCCTCTAGTGCTGTAGATGTCTATGGGCGGCGCCGATCACTTACCATAAAATGATTTGTCTGATTGTTTCCCTCCTATTTAAAAAAAGTAATATGTTGCAAGTCAAAAATTTTTTTGTAAGTCAATTGAAATCTCAGAAATGTCTAAATTTCGAAATGATAAAATTTTCTTAAAGAATAATAATAGGAAATAAAATATAACAACATGCAACTGAATATGTAAATGAATAGGTCTTAAACGAGTTATTCATTGCATGCAAATTCTGCAGTATTTTAAAATTACACTACACTTACACAAAGCTATTTTGGTTTTGGTGGTAACTATTGGAACCTAAGTATATATATTTTTTTGTTTTAAAGATATATATGCTGGATATATGATATTGGATGTCCAATGTCCAATTTCGTATGCTTGCTTTAACACATTCAGTGCCCCCGACGCGTATGTGCGTTTCCTCGCACGCACATACGCGTCGGGGGCACTGAATGTGTTAACCATTTCTATATAACCTTAGAATGACACCCTTTATGGCTTTTGTAAAAGATTCGCTACCAGAAACCTGACAATAACCCAGTCAAGTATGAGTCCGCCACATTTAAAAGGTTTCGTACCCTAAATAAACTGTGAAACTCCACCGTTGATACGTCCCAAGTCTCCAATGTGAGAGTGGATCAAAGGGTGATGCATGTAATTTCTGGTTCACAATTATTATTTGCGTGAAGGTTAATAGTTAAGATGAAAACACCGTTTGTTGAAGAGGAGACTCAAAGACCCGAAGTGGACTATTAAGAGCTGGTGGTTAAGATTAATTATTAATTTATTGACTGATAATGGCTTTAATCTTTGAATAGTTTTATTTACGATGCGAATATTGGCACTTTACAAATGTCCATTATTTTGTCTGTATGGAGTTGCATCAGTTGGTTGAGTATTGCGTGCTTGTTGTCGTCTAACAGCTGTCGGTATGTGCTTGTCCAATCAATTTAAATATATCTGACGACATCTTTTTAAGTAAACATACTTGCGCAAGTTCGAGGTCCATTTCATAGGCCGGAGACCCCGACACGCATAGGTATGCATTAAACTCAACCTCGCACTTATGTGTCTGTCACATTCTTAACGTAATCTGGTTTCTTATAAGTTATATATTTTAGATAATTCGAAACCGATTTTATTTGGGAAAAACAGTAGGAATGTACAGCTAGTACATTCCTACTGTTTTGATAATAATAATCCTACTTCATACTACTAATACTACGAAAGTTTGTATCGATGTATATTTGTTATAATTTCTAGTAAA